ATCCCCAGCCTTGGTCAGGGTGCATGCGGGAGGCAATGTGTCTCTTCCCCCCCACCCCTCTTCCCACCCTTTAAAAATTAATAGAGCCTGACTGGTTTGGCTCAGTGGATAGAGCGTCAGCCTGCGGACCGAAAGGTCCCAGGTTCGATCCTAGGCAAGGGTATGTACCTTGGTTGCGGGCACATCCCCAGTAGGAGGTGTGCAGGAGGCAGCTGATCGATGTTTCTTTCTCATCGATGTTTCTAACTCTCTATCCCTCTCCCTTCCTCTCTGTAAAAAATCAATAAAATATATATTTTTAAAAAGTATACCTATTTAAAAAATTAAATAAAAATTAATAGAAAAAATATCCTCGGGTGAGGATTAACAAAAGGAAAAAAAGGAGTACCTGTCTTTGCTCCCAGCTCGGCTGCCCCGGGACCTGCCCCTCCACCTGCTGGCATTTCAGAGATTGGAGATAAGGCTCAGAGAAAGACCCTTACTTTTTCCTGTGAGGGCATCTCACAGAGCGGGCAGTTGATTACCGGTCATTCCATAAAGTCAACCCGCACACGTGAGTCCCAACACAGGTGCATTTGGGCCTGCCTGCTGGCCTTGGGTCACACATGCCTGTCACACCCATAAAGGTTCCTGTGTCCCCATCCTGCTAAATCTCTACTCCACAGGGAATCTGGGATGTGTTCACTGCTGTGTCTCAAAGACAGTGTGGGTACAAGTAGATTTGCACAGGGATGGTTGAATTAATGATCTTTTTGCTTGGCCCTTCCCACCCCTTCTCTAGGTGGGTTCACACCTCCCCCCTCTTTCTCCCCTCATCATAGGATCTATCTTCTGTATCTTTTTAAATATATATATTTTTTATTGATTTCAGAGAGGAAGGGAGGAGAGATAGAAACATCAATGATGACACACAGAAACTGGAGACAGAACCTAGAAACAGAACCTAGTGAGAGAACATGGCAAAAGATCCTGGACAGAACCTAGACACAGAACCTAGACACAGAACCTAGACACAGAAGAACTTCGCTGGAGAGAACATGGCAAAAGATCCTGGACAGAAACTGGCCACAGAACCTAGAGACAGAACCTAGCGAGAGAACATGGCTGAAGAACCTAGAGACAGAACCTGGCTACAGAACCTGGATAGAACATGGCAAGAGAACCTGACTAGAACCTGGTGACTGAACCTGGCTGGAGAACCTAGCGAGGGAACATGGCTACAGAACCTGGCTGGAGAACCTAGTGAGGGAACATGGCTACAGAACCTGGCTGGAGAACCTAGCAAGAGAACATGGACACAGAACCTGGCTGGAGATCCTAGCCAGAACTTCGCTGGAGATCCAGACCAGAACTTGGCTGGAGATCCTGGCTAGGCTGCTGATCAACTGAACGCTGTCTCCATGTCATTCCTTCTTCGCCGACTCCGTCCACACCTTTGGGGACCCCTGGACCTGCTGGGGTTGGACCCCAGCAAGCACATACACAGAATAATAGGAAAATCCAAGTGATATCTCAGGAGAGGGAGAAAACCCCTAACAGGTTTGGCTCAGTGGATAGAGCATCAGCCTGCAGACTCAAGGGTTCAATTACGGTCAAGGGCATGTGCCTTGGTTGCCGGTACATACCCAGTGGGGAGTGTGCAGGAGGCAGCTGATCGATGTTTCTAACTCTATTCCTCTCTCTTCCTCTCTGTAAAAAATCAATAAAATATATTTTTAAAAAAAGAGAGGGAGGGAAAAAAATGATTTAAAAAGTCAAGAAAGGGAGAAGGGGGAGAGAGAAATATTGATCGGTTGCCTCCCAAATGGCTCCCAACCGAGTATGGAAGCTGCAATCTGGGTATGTGCCCTGACTTTTTGGTGTAAGGGAAGATGCTCCAACTAACCTAGCCACACTGGCGAGGGCAACACAGTCTATTTATTTATTTATTTATTTATTTATTTATTTATTTATTTATAATATATTTTTGTTGATTTCAGAGAGGAAGGGAGAGGGTGAGAGAGAGATAGAAACATCAATGATGAGAGAGAATTGTTGATTGGCTGCTTCCTGCATACCCCCCACTGAAGCTTGGGCCTGCCACTGGGGCACATGTCCTTGACCAGAATCGAGCCCGGGACTTTCAGTCCTCAGGCCAATGCTCTGTCCACTGAGCCAAACCAGCCAGGGCAACACAGTCTTTTTTTAAAAAGTGCTAAAATAACTGGTTGTTTATATGGCAAAAATGGATCATAACCTAAATTACATAGAAAATTGATAGAAAATGGATCATAGGCCTAAATATAAAAGCTAAAACTATTAATTTTTGAAGAAAAAATAGAATATCTTCATGACCTTGGAATAGGCAAAAGTTTCTTCAAGAGTACACAAAAATCCTTAATCATAAAAGAAAAATCTGATATATTGAGCCTGTAAATTATAAGTCATTAAAAGAGTAAAAAGGCAAGTAGGAAATATTGGCAACACATATAACTAACAAAGGGCTTGTCTTTAGTATATATAAAGAGTTCCTACAAATCAATAAGAATAGCATTTTATAAAGGAGGTTAGGGGAGGAACAAAAGATTCGAATAGGCCGAAACTGGTTTGGCTCAATGGACAGAGCGTCGGCCTGCGGACTGAGGGGTCCCGGGTTCGATTCTGGTCAGGGGCATGTGCCTGGGTTGCGGGCATATCCCTGGTGGGAGATGTGCAGGAGGCAGCTGATCGATGTTTCTCTCTCATCGATGTTTCTGACTATCTCTCTCCCTTCCTCTCTGTAAAAAATCAATAAAATATATTAAAAAATATAAAAAAAAAAAGAAACATCAATGATGAGAATCATTGACTGGCTGTCTTCTGTACCCCCCTACTGGGGATGGAGCCTGCAACCCGGGCATGTGCCCTGGCCGGGAATCGAACCTTGACCTCCTGGTTTATAGATCGACACTCAACCACTGTGCCACACTGGCCGAGTTATCTTCTATATCTTTAGAGTTGTGAGGGTACTGGCTGGGATGGTACCGGTCAAGGTCTGGGTGGTCAAAGGTCACTTAACTTCTACTTTAGTTATTTAAAATTTACATCTGTGTGCCTCAGAATATTTTAAATGATCACAAGCTGACTCTACAGATGTGTCCCTCGTCTTGCTGCTCTGGTCCTTCTGCAGCCCACTGCACATTGAACCCGTCCTTTCCAGCTCCCTGCTGGCACAGTACACACCTCGACAGACGAGAAGACGCCTCCCAAGACCTTCTTCTGGTGACTGGGCTTTCTCCCCAGTAGGCCTTGGTTCCTTACTGGGGAGGGCGAGGATGCTCCTGCTCTCTCCTTACCCCCCTGCATGGCCTGGCTCTTCAAAAACCTGCAGTGAGCTGGCAGGAACATGGGCTATCTGATCACTGGCTCAACACCAACTTCCTTTTATTGAGAGGTTACAAGGTTGTGGATATCAGCCTTGACACAACCACCCCTATCTGCCCCGCAAACATTCTCAGGGAAGGGAACCGGGGGGAGTCAGCCCTTGACTCAGTCCTCTCAGCCACACATGGTCAGAAGCCTCGTCACCTTAATGCAGGAAAGGAAGCTGGGGGTGGGCTGAGTCACTCTACAGCTCAGTGCTGCAGGCAGGTTACCTTGGAGCCTTGAGGAAGCAGCTCTACCTTGGTTGCAGCTGAAGCCCCAGTCTACATCGGAACACTGCGGCATCTGGAGGGTAAGACGGAAGCTTCCCTGGGGCTGGAATGTTCTCCCAGGAGCAGACCCCTGTCCACGAAGGTCCTCCTGAGGTCAGCTTAGCCTTTATGGGCACTGGAGCAAACACTACCCAACCTCCTATTTGTCAAACTCCACTCCATCTTGAGGCAGAATTGAACCACAACCAAATACTCCCTGAATCTTAGCTGATGGGCTTTGCTTCTGTATCTCCTTCTGCATGGCCAGTGCCTTCCCATGAACCCCATGTGTCTGTCCCTGAGCGCCCGAGTCCTTGGGGCTCTGCATCTCCACTTCCCACTGCCGCCTCTCAGCTGCGTCTGGTAAACTGTTGACTCAGTTTTCCTGCATGTCCTGCTGCCTCCAGGGCATCTAGGCAACAGATGGCAGAAGGGCTCCAATTTCGTGGCAGCTGGGTGTGAGAGTGACCTCAGAGGTGCACACAGGGAACTTTAAGGGAAACTGAGCCTGAGGAGGCTCCCTTGTGCAGGGGGCGGGTTCTGTCCCTACGGAGTAACACCAGCTTCCCACGTCTCCGGACTTCCTTCCGGCCAGGCACTGGGCTAATTGCTCGGTGGTGGTATCTCAATTCGTCCTCCCAATGGCCCAATTAGTTATTAGTTTCCCTCTCTCAAGGAGGAGGAAACAGGCTCAGAGAACTTGCCCCCTGATTCCACCGCCACACATGGTCACACTCTAAGTGCCAAGGCCGTGTCTTAGAACCAGGTCGGTTCCACCGAAACTGGAGCATTTGACCGTGAAGCCCTAGAGAGGAACCGAGGAACGGAGAAGTTGCAGAGACGGTTCGAGGTAGCGGACGGGTGGGGTAGGGACTGAAGAGGCTCTGGAGGAAGGAAGGTCTGCGAGCCCCGTGGACTCATAGGGCCAGAGCGGAGCTGGGTGCTGGTACGGGGAGCCCGCCTGCAGTGGGGAGCCCGCCTGCAGTCGGCAGCCACAGCCCCATGCTTCTACCTGCAAGGCGCAGGCGGATGCGCTTAGAAGAGGCGGATACTGAGGTCCCGTCTCTTCCTCCGGCGCAGGCCATCCTGGGAGCTGTAGTCCCAGTCTCATACTCAGCTCATCTCCTTGCTACTCCTCGATAAACTCGGCACGCAGTGCTCCCCGATGCCCGGGGCTCAGCCATCTCCAGTGGCGGTGGTGGGTGGAGAGGCCCAGAAAGTCGGCTTGCGCCTGGAGGGCGCTAGTTGGGGCCTCAGAGACCGCCACCCCGAGGACTACAACTCCCGGATTGCCTCGCGCCCCCGGCACCGCTCCGAGCTTTCTGCCTGGCGGCGCCGCGCTGCCCTGTGGGAACAGTAGTCCCGGCGCGCGATTCACAGCGCCGCGTGCGCCCCGGGCGCGCCGTAGCCGCGGGGCCCGGGCCGGGCGCTACGCTACGGAGGCGGCGTAGGCTAGGCTCCGGACGCGGGCCGTGTCCAGCAGGGTCTGGGCGCTTTGGCGGCTCCTCCACTCAGCGCGGCAGGCCGGCGGGGCAGGGCGGCCAGTGGCAGAAGTTGTAAGTCAGTCGGCAGGGGCGAGCGGGCCGGGGGCCCTTTCGCCCAGGCCGCACGGACGGAGGAGGCGCCGCCGGGTTGCAGAGGTGAGTCCGGCCAGCCGGGCCAGGGGTGCGGCCTGGACCCTCGCCGGAGCCCGGGCCTGGTGGGCAGCGCTTCTCAGCGGCAGGGCTGCCGGCCTCGGAGCGAAGGTCAACCTGCTGCTTCGCTGGCGCCTCCTGGGCATTAGACAGAGTCCGGGCAGGGATGGGTTCACTGCTTGCAGAGGGGAGACGGGGGCCGGGTCATCTTGGTCCCTGGGAAGCCAGCCCCAGGATGGCTGCGGACACAGACGGCGGCCTCAGCCCCTGCCTGCCCTTGAGTGCCCTTAACTTCCAGGCAACGTCCTGGTTCGGCTGCATTAGGGGATGTGATGTGTCCCGTAGTGCCCGCAGCCCTCCCCACTGAAGGACTCTGGACACTGCCTGGGGGTGGCCCCATGGAATGGGGGGAGGGGTGCGCAGGCGCGTCCTGTGTGCCCACTGACCACCCCACGCTTCCTCTTCCCTGTTCCCCTCTGGCCTGGCGCTGGAGCGACACGAGGAAGTTACAAAGGATAATCCCTGAGAATGTTTTCGGGGCGGGTCCGGTTCTTCCTGTTGGCCACAAAGGGGCCCTTCTGGCCCTGAGGAGTGAACCCCTGTTGTGTGGTCGCGTGGCCCTGACTGGGTGGCTTTCAGGGACCAGGCTGCAGGCAACAGAAACTCCTTGTAACCAGGCCAGGGAGCTTGGGGTCCTGCAAGTTGGGGGAAATGGCTCAGCTCGGTGCTGAACTGGGTCTGAGCTCCTCCCAAGAACTCCTCCTCTGGGGATCCCTGGAATCCTCCCTCTGCCAGGTCTGGATGGCTGTGCGTGTCCTAGGTGTGGAGAGTGACTATCTCCAGCCCCCAGACGCTGGGCAGGCGGTGGGGTAATTCCATCCTTCCTCTCTGAGTGACTTTCTCAGATGTGAAGAGAGAGTGTTTCCTGGTCCAGGTTGCAGGAGAGCCTCAGGGTCAGGGGAGCCTGGACCTGGGCCCTGTGGCCTGGCTGGTGGTGTTGCAGGAAGCCGGTGCAGCCCGGCCGTGGGGATGGGCACATCTTACTTCCTCCCCGGTTGGTCTGCTCCCAGGACGAGCACTCCTCTCCTCCTTCCCCTCCGCATCTGAAAATTTCTGGAGCTGCTTTTCCTAAGCAGACAGGCCCATGACCTCATGACCTTCTGAGAAATGGGTTTAAGCTCTGCTGGGCCCAAGGCTTAGTGGCTGCAGGGCTATAGGCAGGGACCCATCTGATCTTGTGTCTGCTTTGAGCCCCCCAGACCTGAGCTCTGAGAGCAGGAAGTGACCAGACCCCCTAATCCTGCATCCGCATAGGACCCTCCCTATCCCAGTCATGCTGGAAGCTCCCAGTTTCTCTGCCCTTCACCTAGAGGCCAGACCTGGCTGGCTTGACAGTGGTAACATTTACTGAAGCCCCTTCGCACCCCTCTGCACCAAGCTCTCCAGGCCTGTCTCATAGGCAGCGCTCTAGTAAGCCCCATTTTACTGAGGAGCAGCCCTAAAAATGCCCCAAACCAAGATGTCATTCATGAGTCCCAGCTGGTCAGTGAAGAGCCTGGTGGGGCCAACTACCCACAGTCATGGCCTTTGGGGACAAAGCAGCCTCTGGTTTGGCCCTCTGCACACTGCTCACTACTCCAGGCACAGAAGGGTGCTGGCAAGGCAGGTGGCATGATTAAATGGAAATGGTTTGAGTTGGTGGGGTGGGTTTTCTGGGTTGGGTGGTTTCTTCATCTGACATTAAAAGTTCACACCCAGATCCTGAGCAAGGACCCCCCATGCCCCCAGGACTCTGAGGGGGCTCTTGGCTCAGCCAGCTTCTCTTCACTCCCCTGTGTTGCCTGGGCTGCCCGGCACGTCCTCACTACCTATTTCTCTGGTTCCATCTGTGCCCATTGTTGAGCATCAGCACTCATGGGACTGTCTCACAGCAGTAACATAATCTCGTTTCTCACTGAATCTCTTCTGCCAAACCTCTCAGAACAGACACAGCTTCTCTCTCTTCCCCTCTTCCCACTCCACTGGGCTCTGACATCACACCTGGCTGCCAGCATTGTTCCACTCACTAGATGGTCAGTGAGTGTCCTCTGTGAGCTGCTTGCCAGCAGGCACCTCTGGTCACCCTGGCTCTGAAGTCCAAAGGGAACTCCTAGGGCATCTAGAATGTCACCCCAGGGCTTCTTTGGAGATGAGGAGTAGACTCACTGGCCTCTACCCTCTTTGAATGGGCTTCACGGAGGCTCTAGATTGAGGCTGGACTGCCTCCACTTCTCAGGCTTGGGGACCTGCCCAGCCACACCTCATCATGTCACTGTGGGTCATGGCAGCAGTACTGTATGAAAAACAATTTCCTTTTTTATGAAGCGCAGCTGAGGTGGTATACGGCTCCAAAGACACAAGAGGACACACAGGGGCCCTGTTCACCTCCCTGGAGGGGTCTGAGTGGACTCTGCAGATGGCCTGTTGCCAGGGTGCAGAGAGCCAGGGGTTGTGGGAGGACAGAGGTGTCCTAGCCCAGCACAGAGGCCCCAGGATGGGCAGTGTGAGGCCTCCTGATGCCAAAGGAGGGGCTACTCTAGAAGCCAATGATGTATTGTCCCTCTGCAAGGACTTGGCCAGGAGCAGCACCGGTGGGTTCCCAGGAAACGGTAGAGTGTGCGCTTGCATTGCTCTCAGACCTCCTGTCCTGCAGACACTGTCACCCTCCGGCGGCAGCTCCAGGCCCTGCTCTTTGGCTTTTCTGACGTCCGGGGGAGCTTACAGGGCTGCATCCCACCTCCTGGTGGCTGGGCTGGGGGTTGTGCCTGGACAGCGCTCAGATGTCAGGAGGGAAGCTGGTCAATAGCTGCTCCTTGGAGTTGTCACCTGTGTCTGCGTCCAGAGGAAGGCAGTCATTGCAGCTTCCTGCTCCTCCTGTGTCACCACAGCCAGACCTGAAGCAGAGGCAATTCCTCCTCAGGCCAGTCCCTGCTCACACCCACCCTTCTCCGAAAAGTTGTCCTTTGGAATTAAGTTCACGTGGGCAGATGAAGTCTCTAGATCTAGGACCTTCTGCCCCTGCCTGATGCTGCGCTCCTGCCATATCGCAGGAAAGGCAGCGGGTCCTGGAGCCCCTGCCGTTCTGGAGGTGGCTGCAGAGAGCCCCCCATCTGCCTTCCTAGGGGTGAGCTGAAGGCTCGAGTGCTCCATGCCCCCACCCCCCGAAACGGTTTGGGCTGGTGGGTGCCAGCAGGGCTGCCACCACTTGGCAAATAAGTGTTAGAAGTGCCAAAAAACAAGAGTTCTTGTCTGGTACCTTCTCTTTTCCCATTAAAAATAGTATTCAACTTTAGCCAGGATTGGACTTGTGAACTAGAAATTAAAATCCTGGGAGTGTCCCGTTTCTCTGATAGAACCGTATGAAAAACAATTTCCTTTTTTATGATGCACAACTGAGGTGGCGTACGGCTCCAAAGATTCAGGAGGACACACGGGGACCCTTTCACCTCCTAGGAGGCAGCCCCACATCCCGTGTGGGTGTCCTCCGGCCTCCTCACATGTGCCTTTGACTTTGAGAGGCCTGTCTCCTCCCACCCCAGAAAGCAGGTGCCTCAGAAAGTAGAGCAAATCTAACCTGTCAGCTGGTCCGTCACAGTGACCAGGGTCAGTAGGTAGTGTCTCAGAGGTGCTCAGCGTGGGCCGAGGAAACATGGGGGGCGGGGGCGGGGGCACATGGCGAGGAGCCCTGACTCCTGTCCTAGAGCCGGTAGCCTGGACCTTCAGGGACTGAAGAGCTTGACGTACAGAGAAGAGTGCCTTTTAGCATGTTTGGGCCGCACATCCCTGTCTGATGGGCAGGTATTTGGGACAGGTGTGTTTCTTCCCAAGTTTGCTCACAAGAAGTGTGAGTTACACTTTTGGAGCCCACAGCTCTTATTCCTGAACCTCTCAGAGGTCAGCACTGTTGGTGGTGGCAGGCCCTTCGGGTGGGGAGTGCCCGTCCTCGGTGTTTGAGGGCAACGGTGAGAGTTGGGGAGGCTGCAGCAAGGCAGGCCTCTGGGCCCTTGCACCACACTAGGAAGGACGGGACGGGGACAGGCTGGAGCCACCCAGCCTGCAGCAGTGGTTGGAGGTTAAAGCCGCCTGGTGGTGCCGGGCCCTGGATCCAGGTGAATCTCAGTGGGTGCCTGGCTGCTTGTCCAGAGCCCTGTCCCACGTGGACACCTTTCCCTGGTAGCTAAGCAAGGCCCTGTTCCCTTGGGCCCTGGGATCTTAAACAGCCCCACCTGCCACATTGGTTGGCGCAGAGATAGGGCCTTGGACTAGGCAGTGAGGAGCTGGCTGAGCCATGTTAATCCCAGGCGACCGCTGGCCTCTTCTGGGTAAGGGACTGATACAGCTTCAAAAGGGATGCAGTCCTGCCCTGGCCGGTGTGGCTCAGTTGGTTGAGTGTCATGCCATGCTCTGAAAGGTCACTGGTTTGATTCCGGTCAGGGCACATGCCCAGGTTGCGGCTTTGGTCCCTGGTTGGGATGCATGCAGGAGGCAACCCATCAATGTTTCTCTCTCACGTCGATGTTTTTCTTTCTCCCTCCCTTCCTCTCTCTTGAAAATCAATAAATAAAAAGATTTTTAAAGGGGTTGGGAGGGAGACGTAGTCCCTGGGCCACTTCCCATGGGAATATTCTCAGGGCAACTGAGGGCAATTCCCTGTTCAGGCCTTGTCTGTGGAAGTGGGGCATCCTCCATGTGGCCTGGCCTGGGGTGAAGACATGGCCCAGCACAAAAGCCACGGGTGCCACCAAGCCTGGACCATATGGCTGGTCACCATTGCTCTTCAATGGATTCTGGCTTGAGCCACTAAGACTGGGCGCTGGGTCTGTTCCAAGGCCAGAGTCCAGAGCCTTCCAGGAGAAGGGGCATGTCCTCCGGGTGGATGTGCTGTTGGCAAGCTCACTGTGCCACTGACCTCTGGGAGAGCTCAGGCCTCTCACAGTGGGGGGTGAGTCTTCTCCCAGTGCTATGGGTTAGTTGGGCTATGGGACCAGTGGTAGAATGGTGGGGCTGGAGTGCAGTGTGGGTGCCCCCTCTCTCTGCAGAACCCTTGATTCACAGAACCCCTCTGCCCAGCCCCCTGCCCTGACAAAGCCTGGTTCTCATGGCCTGGCAAGCGCTGTGCATCTAAGGCTTGGGGCCGTGGTCCTGTCATTCAGGGGCACACCGCAAGTCAGACCTGTTTTGCTGGCTCCGTCTGTCGTCCCTTTGGTATTCCCCCAGATGGAAGAGCCGTGTCCCAGAGGGCCCATCCCCTGACTGCCCTCTGTCCTCCATCTCTAGGGGAGCTGTCGATGTGGGTGAGCTGCTAACTCATTGAGGAAGCAGGTGGCAGCAGGAGAATGCTGTCCTGCCAGTCCCCGGGAGCCGGAGCCGGGAGGTCAAAGTCTGGGCCCTCCCTGGGGTGGGGCCCTCTCAGGGGTGGGATCCCAGCCTGATTTCTGGTAGGGATGGGAGGCCTCCCTCACTCAGGCAAGAGCTTCCCGTCCTCGGTGTCGCCCCGGTAGCAGTGTCCTCAGGCCGCAGGGACAGATCTACAAGCTCTCGCTTCGCGTCTGGTGGGTGTGATTCTGGGTATGGTGGGTGGTGGCCATGGGTTTCCCGGGCACAAGCAACAATGCCCCAGAAAAGCTTGGTGTCCCCTGGGTGGGCCACTCTCCCTCTGTCCCCTTCCTGGGCCCCCTTCCCGGGGCAGGTTTCCGGTGGCCTGTCAGGGTGCTGCAGTTGGCGAAGGACCATGATTGGGGGATGGGGCAATGGGGCTTGTGCTGCACAGGCTAGCCTAGGGGGCACAGACTCAGGGCGCCCCAGGAGTGGGCGCTGGAACAACAGGGCGTAAATCCCAATCCCTCTCCATTGGGATCTGGTTGTGGCCCACACCTCCCCCTCTATGGGCCCATGGCTGCCGGCTGCCCTGCCGGTGTCTGCTCACCCCATCCCTGGGCCAGGGAAACTCACTTGGTGAGAGCAACTCACCTGCCACCCACAGGGAAGTGCCCTTTCCTGCCTCACATGCTGAGGTCTCAGCACGCACCCTCAGAGGCGCCAGCGCTGTGGGGAGCAGGTGAGGTGGGCTGTCGTTACTGGGATCCAACCTGCCGTGATTGAGACAGGCGCACCCCATGCAGGGCCATCCTCATCTTGGTGGATGGGCCCCAGCTGTCCTTAGAGTCCCGTGCTAGGCACACGCCTCGCCCCAGAGTTGGCGGACAGACCAGTCAGCTCCTGTGGATTAACAAACCCCCGCGCTCTGGGGGCGGCAGCAGCCCCACCTTCATGCTTCCGAGGCCAGATGTAGGCCTCCGCCCCATTTAAATCTAGGGCAGCAGTTCCTGAGTGAGGGCAGGAGGACGGGGTGGGGGCGGGGCTCTGGGAGAGCTGCTCCTCCTGAGGTGCCCTGTCTCGGAGTCCTGTCCCTTTGCACAACCAGGAGGCTGGTGCTGCCATCATCTGTGCTCTCTGGCTTCTGCCTGGAGATGTGTGACATACATCATGCTCTTCTTAAGGCACAGCAGCCAAAAAGTGAGCACCCTGCAGCAGAGTTCCTGAGTGCTGCCGTATCCAGGGCCTAAAACAGGGCCTGGGAAACAGCAGGGCCCTGATGGGCATTGGCTGAATGAATGAAACAGCACATGAAGGAATAAAAGAATGGACCCAGTGCAGGTCTGGCAGATGGTCTCGCCACACACTCACCTGGGGTGAGAGGAAGAGCAGGTTCTGCAGGAGAAGGCTTGTCACCTGGGAGCAGGGTCTGTTCTGCTCTGAGGTGGCCCTGGGGTTCCGTATCAAAGGTCAGTACCTGGGCAACAGTGTTTGTAAAGCTCCCATCCCCGGTTATTCTGAGGAGGAGTCAGCGGCTGTGGACAGACCCACCCTGCCCTGGCAGAGTTTCCCACGTCACTGCCATGAAGGTGGGACCCTCGGGTTAGCAGGGTACCTTGCCAGGTACCTTGCCCAACCAGGACAATCCTTTGTTGGACTCACTCCCGGGAGCTTTTCCCCACTCCCTTTGGGTCAAGATAGGGTGTGGGTGTTGGGGCCAGCTCTCTCTGGGGGGCTTTCCAGGCCGCCTCTGTCCTCCTCAAGCCCCCAGTGAAGGGCCTGTGCTGCCCCTCCCTTTGGGAGCAATCTGGCAACGACCACAGAGCCCACCCCTCAGGCCTCCCACCTGCCCCAGACGGGGTCTGCAGGGTCAGCGTTTCCTAAAGGCCTGTCAGGGAGCTGGCCTTGCTCAGGTGCCTCTCGCTCTCACTGTGTGCAGGGCTGGGGGACCAGCACACACCCAGCTGTCTGACCGGCCTGAGCTCTCACTGCCCTGCTGCCAAGGGCACTGCTGCAGAGCAGGTGGGTCCTCTGGGAGCTTGCGCTTTGGGCAGCACATCCAGCCCGCACAGGACCTTGTTGCCCCTTCCTCCAGGCAGAGCCCGGCGCCTGTGGCCCCACACCTGTCCCTGGGAGGCCCGGGGCCACATCCTCACTCTGCGTTGGGGCTGGCTGTGCCTTTGGCTCTGCCTGCATCAGATGCCCGTGGTGGTGTCACCGGGGGCATGGGCCAGGTGTTGGCACTGTGGACCCTGTCCCCCACCATGGTTTTGGCGTTCTTAGGCCAGGCTTCCCCACACTGCCTAGCCCTCTGTTCTCCCAGTGGAAATAGCCCAAGCTCTTTGTCAGGGACAGACCAGCCCTGGACCCAGTCGTGAGCAGTTCTGCTCCATGGCACCTCTGCTGGGCATGGCCCTAATTCAAGCCTCACCTGTCTTCTCCTCCCCCTCTCTCTATTCACCTGTTCAGGTTAGCTGCGGAAGGGGAGTGCCAGAAACACCTGGGCCCTCTTTCCTCAAGGGGCTCCTGTGTGGAGTGGGGGCCGTTCTCATTCTGATGTCCGACGTGTAAGCATGAGGCTGGTGATTTGAGTGACCCAGGTTGATGTGGAACTGACCCCGGGTGGTGTGCCCTGTGCCTGCTTAATGCTTTCTAGTACGGAAGCTCCCGGCACGCGTGGCCTGTCCATGCAGAGATGAGCATGGACCACAGTAGAGCGAGTCCAAAGACCTTGACCCAGGATGGTGTCACAGGACTCCCGCGTGGCTTCACCGGTCTCATACTGACGCGGTAACATTTTTGATGTGTTGGGTTATGTGAGGTACGTTACCGAGATTCCCATAACCTGTCTGTGGTACCTTTCTTACATGGCTGTTGGTGAATTGGAAACAACTTCTGTGGCTTGCATGGTGCTCCTACTGAACAGTGTTCCTGGAGGCTGGAGCCAGCAGACAATCCTTCTGGGGCCAGGCGGGGCTAGTGCCAGCTTTGTGGACCACCACGGGGTCTCTGCCACACTGCTCAGCTGTAATTGTGCCGAAGGCCTGAGTGTCAGGTGACTTGTGGGGCCACCAGGCCGATCAGGGCTGGTGCTGCTCTGTCCACCCATGTCCCCTGGAGAAAAAGCATCTGGGCGAACGTTACTGCTGCAGGGGTCCTCGGCCCGTCTTACGGGGTAGGGGTCACAGGCTTCTACCATCCATGGTGCTTGGCCCCTGCTGGTTCCCAGAACTGTGTGTGCTGCTTCTCACTCCCGTGTAGGGAGTCCTGCACAGTCCCACCCACAAACCCTAGGCCTGCGCCACAAGGATGCATCCCCAGGTTCACTCCAGCCCCTGGCCCCGTTACCATGGGGCTTATTTGGGAGCTGGGAGAAGGGTGTCAGTGGTAACAGGGGACCTAGGGATGGGGCTATGCTGGTGGTCACCTGCACAGCTGGAAAGCCAAGCAGATGCCCACCTTGGCCCAGAGCCTGGCTGAGTGGGTGAGGGGAGGCTAGGTGGCATCTTCCCTAACCTGACTGTGATGCCTCGTTTGAAAGTAGATGTGCCACCTCCATCTCATGGTGGATGCTCTTGGACTGTGTTTCATTCCTCCTCTTGGCCAGTGGAGGTAGGGCCTCCCCTGCAGTGTAAATGGGCTCCCACTGGAGGCCTGGCCAGCCTCCCGGTGCCTCTCGAGTCACTCATCTCCTCTTGGGCCCTGGCGTTTCTCTGGGTCAGGGCGGTCTCCTTCAGGGGGCTTCAGAAGGGCGGTGGGTAGACAGTGTTGTGCAGGTCTTTGCCTGGCTTTGAGGGCTGCACCAGCTCCACTGTGCTCACTTCCCTTGTTTTTCCTCTTTCTTTGGTTAAATATCCCCGATTCTTTCCTCCACAGTAAAGCAAAATTGTGTCATTTCTCTTCTCACTGAAGATGCCTCTCTTTGAAGACCAGTGGCTGGTGGCACCCTCATCCTTCCCTATGGGCAGCTGATGGGCTGATAGGGGTTTTCAAGAACAGAGAAGGGGTGCTGGTTATGGGGCAGGTGGGGCAGGGGCTGAGCGCCTGCAGCCCTGCTCCCGGCCCCAGTGTGCCTCGTGTTGGGGGTACAGCTCTGTCGATGCCTGTCCCTCAGCGCTGTGGGGGCCTCTGCTGTGGAGGAACCTGGAGTGGGTGCTGCAGGGTGCCTGCTGCTGGGTCAGGCACAGGCCCTCAGCTCCTGCTCCATGGCTGTCCCCTTCCTGCCTCAAGGCCACTTGCACTGGGGGACCCTCCAGAGTTCCTGGGGGCTTTGTTCCCGTGAGTCATGCTGTTTCTTCTCTTTCTCTTTATTCTCTCTGTTTATTTTTGTTGTGTGACTTTGACCAGCCGGCCACCCTGTCTCCTGTGTGGGTGCTCACCTCCCTCCATGCTCTGGCCGCATGTGACCAGGCCCAGCTCTCGGTGCGGCTGCCGTCACGGGGGCCATGGGGAACTCCGCTTCCTCGCTGGCCACCGAGACCGAGTCGGATCACAGCTTCCCCGGGGGGCCGTCCTTCCCAGGGCCCCCGGCAGCAGCCGGCTGTTGTAGGAGCGGCTCCGGGGGACCTGTCTGGGGCAGTGCCCTGGTTACCCGGCAGCACCCAACCCCACGCCCCCAGGCCCAAAGGTAAGAAAGATGGCGGGCCCCCAGGGGTGGGAGTGCTGCTCTGATGGCGCCCCTCCTTTGGCAGAGGGGCTTGCAGAGAAGTGGGGACCCTATATCTTAGGGTCCTCTGGTGACTCACTTCCCCTTAATGGCACGAGATCTGCAAGGCTCTGGGGTGGCTCCATGCTTGGCGGAGGAGCTGGCTGGATCTCCGTCTGGTGCTTGTGATGGGGCAGCTTCTGGAGCTTTTTGCCTGGCGGGTGGGGAGCCTGCCAACCCCAGGCCTGGGTGGTGCTGGCACGCGCTGAGAATGCTGGCTTGCTTCCCACCGGATTTGGGGGACACTGCTCAGGAACCCGTCTGTGTGTGTCACTCCTGCTCTGACATGGCTGCCTGCAGGGGGCAGGGTTGTGGTGCCACAGGGGCTGACCATCACATGCCAGCTCCCTTCATGCGGCCAGACTGGCCCAAGTTTCTCAGCTCAGGCTACCGGTTGGATCACCCCTCAGAGGTGCTGGAGTGACTAGTGTGAAGGCAGGTCAGGCTCCAATGTCCCACCCTGGCATTGACGCCCCTGCTTTCACCCTGTCCCGAGGCCTTGCTGGATGAGGGGTGCCGGTGCTCAGGTTCCGCAGACCTTGGAGCAGAGGTGGTGGTAGCCCCTGCTCTCTCAGGGTGCCCCGGCCTGTGTTCAATGGGTAATAGACACCTTCCTGTCTCAAAAGTGTATCCTGGGCTTTCCTGCCAGGTGGGCAGCAAAAAGGGTCCTAATGGGCCTGCAGGAGTGGGGCCAGCCTCCTGGGGTGGCATTGGAGCTGAGGCCTGAGTCCCTGGCAGAGGAGGCATCTGGGAGGGGGTGGAGGGGTTAGCAGAGCTGAGTGGGAGAGTCTTGGAGGTCTGTAAGTTACCTAGTAGGCAAGAATGGGGAGGAGGGGGTCGAGGCTTGAGGTCCAAAAGGGCGTGCCGGGAGCAGGACGGTGGAGGGACTAGTGAGAGTTGGGAATGCGGTATAGTGAATTATTAGAGAATATTTCCTTGTTACTGTGTTGATGATGTACTAGTGAACATTTCTGTATCCCAGCTTTATTGAGATATAACTTACGTACTACTGTCACATTCACCCCTCACAGCAAGTATACACTTCAGGTTTTCTTAGTCTGTTTATAGAGTTGTGCCACCATCACCACAATCCAGTTTTTCAGCATCTTCATGCCCCACAAAGATCCTGCTTGTTTGCAATGCCTCTCTATCCCCGGACAACCACTCTGCTTCCTGTGTGTCTATGGATTTGCCGTTTCTAGAAATTTCACATCAGCAGAATCCTATGTGTCCTGTGTCTAGCTTCTTTCACTGAGCATAATGTTTTCAAGGTCTGTCCATGTACAGCGTGTGTTAATGCTTCGTTCTTTTTATGACTGCGTAACATTCCACTGTCTGCGGAGCACATTTCTTTATCCTCTCCTGAGCTGCTGGACATTTGGGTTGTTTCCCCTTGTTTTTTAAGTATTGCGCTTCTCTGAACATTTGTATGTAAGTTTTTGGGAGATGTATGTTTTCATTTCTCTTGGGTAGATACCTGGAGTGGAATTTCTGAAGTTTATTGCAAATTTATATTTAACTTTTTAAAAAATATATATATATATATATATTTTAAATATATTTTATTGATTTTTAACAGAGAGGAAGGGAGAGAGATAGAGAGTTAGAAACATCGATGAGAGAGAAACATCGATCAGCCACCTCCTGCACATCTCCTACTGGGGATGTGCCCGCAACCCAGGTACATGCCCTTGACTGGAATCGAACCTGGGACCCTTCAGTCCGCAGGCCGACGCTCTATCCACTGAGCCAAACCGGTTTCGGCTATATTTAACTTTTTAAAAATATATTTTTATTTATTTCAGAAATGGAGAGATGGATGGATGGATAGATAGATAGATAGATAGATAGATAGATAGATAGATAATCAGCTGCATGCCCCACACTGGGGATCGAGCCCGAAACCTGACATGTGCCCTGACCAGGAACCGAACCGTGACCTCCTGGTTCATAGGTCGATACTCAACCACTGAGCCATGCCGGCCGTGCTATATTTAACTTTCTAAGAAACTGCTAGACTGTTTTCCAAAGTAGCTTTACCATTTTGCCTCCCCACCAGCAACGTAGGGGAGAGCTCTAGTTTCTCCTCATCCTGGCTAACACTTACCATCTATGGTTTTGATCCTGGCCCTTCTTGTGGGTGTGAGGTGGTGTCTCGCGGTGGTTTGATTTGCATTTTCCTGATGGTTGGTGATGTTGAGCATCTATTCAAATGTCCATCTATCTACACACGTCTTTTTATTTTCACTTACTTCCTTAGGATAAGTTGGTAGGAGTAGAATTACTGGGTCCCGGGGAAAGAGGCTGGGCCCCCGGGTGAGCAGCAGCCAAGCTGTGGACCCTGTGGCATTGGCCAGGCAGCTTCCTGAGGCCTTGCGAGCATAGTGTGTGTGTGTGTGTGTGTGTGTGTGTGTGTGTGTGTGTGTGTGTGTAGACTTTGGATCTTGACTCACACCCTTAAACCAACAGCCTGGTGACTTGGTGTTGCCCTTTCTCATTCTAAGAAACTGCCTCCACATCAGCATGTGGCCTTCGTGGCCAGGAGAGCCCCATTGCAGTGCTGAAGCAAAGAGAGCAGGCGTGGCCACATCTCCTAGAACTCACTGGAAGTCGGGGGCAGGAACTTTGATGCCCCAGGAGCTACTCATCTTAATCAATAAACTATTGGGTCCTGGCCAGTTTGGCTCAGTGAATAGAGCCTTGGCCTACGGACTGAAGGGTTCCAGTCAAAGGCACATACCCGGTTGCAGGTTTGATCCCCAGAAGGGGGCGTGCAGAAGGCAGCCAATCAGTGATTCTCTTTCATCATTAATGTTTCTACTCTCTCTCTCCCTCTCCCTTCCTCTCTGAAATCAATAACAAACAAAGATAAGTAAAGAAACAACGTTTGGTGTGAGCATTGGCTGTGTACAAGCTCTGGGCCTTCCCTTGGGACACAGAGACGAGGAGGATGACCCAAGGCTGGCTGAAGGTGACCTCTAGATGAGGCCTCCAGCACATTTTGGAACCAGCAGGGAGTCCAGGAGCCCAGCCGCAGGTCCTCAGGTCCAGTGGCTTGGCTTTGTGTATGGACACTATTGCTCTCAGCTTTCCAGAGAAGCAAAAAGCTCATCTCCCAGGATGGGGCCGCTCCACATCCCTGCAAACATGCATGTCCTGGGCAGTGTGTGGACTTCACAGGGAGCCCCAAGAGCAGTTCTGTAACCTCCCTTTTGGATTAGAAGTGAGTGTTAGTGACTCGGATAATGAGGGTAGAGAAGGTATTTGTTGTTGAATTTTTCTGGGCAGTTGTCTCAATATTCCATTTTACTTGGTCTTTCTGTTGGAAGGAGTAGCTCGGGCAGCCAGTTTCCTCCCCCGGAAGTGATTGCTTCTGTGTCTTGGAGCCTCTGAGTGAGTGTCATAGAACTTGGGAACATTTTATGTTGAGGGTTTGCTTTGACTCCAGGTTCCCAACCTTCTCTTATTTCTAGGCTTTACTTGGCGGTCTGGCCTCACCTTCGGACACTCCAGGGACTTCAGGTCTCTGGGCCTCGCTGAGTGTCTCCTGGGCCTGAGACATGTCAGGGTGGCCGTTGAGGGTGGCCCAGAGCAGCTACTCCCCTGCTCAGGGTTCCTTTACTCACTCATCACTGACTGACCCCTGAGCCACTTCTCACCACCGATGACACCAAGATGGGTGTGAGCTGTAAGGTGCGGGTTGCTGGGTCGGTGAGGGGGCACTGTGCCAGTCCTGTAGCTGTGCCACCACCATCCCCAGAGCCTCCTAGCCAGAAGGCTGCCCAGCTCACTTTCCCCAGGGCTAAATTTGATTTCTAGGCACTATTTTCATTTAAACCTTTCTGAACTCCAGACAGAATCTTCCTGCTTCTCCATGTCCCCAGGACAGCTGTGGAACCTGCCCTGTCCCCAGGTGCTGTCCAGGACCAGCAGACACCTTGCCTGTGTGCAGCCAGCCCTGGCCAGCTGGTGGGTTACACAGTGAGCAGGACTTGGGGTCCTTGCCCTCCCAGTGTTTGCCAGGCTCTCCTTGCTCAGTGTGCCTGGGACCTGCAGGCGCCTGGAGCCCAAGGCAGGTGCGTCCTAGGAGGGTCCTGAGTCTTTTCTCTGGAGACCTCCCAGGCCAGGTCGGGTGCACAGGACGGGTGACCATCCCCTGAGCCTGGGGTTGGGGTGGAGGCTGCCTAGGCCCCAACCTGTGTGTGCACGTGGTGGGGGTGGGAACACCGTATGCCACATCTTGACTATGGGCCCTTCTCTAATGGGGAACAGTGGGAAGAGGGTTGAGAGTGGTGTCCAGGCAGATTTCTTAGGTTTTACATAGCACCAAAGCCAGGGCCAAAGCTGAGCTGGCCCTTGGCCAGGCCCACTATGCTGGTGCTGGGTGCCCACTCACTCACCCCGAGGCCGAGTCACACAGGAAGGCGGCTCACAGAGCTTGCTTTGGACCTTGGGAAACAGTTGTGTTGCCCAGGGTGGATTTTTCTATTTGTTATTACCGAGGCAAGTTTTCTTTCTTCCTAAACCAAAAGGGCTTGGTGTGAGTCTAGCATTAGAAGCACAAGCTTCGTGCCTTGTTGTAGAGAACAATTGATTTTTTTGCCAGCAGAGCAGCCGTGTAGGAGAGTGTGTTGTGGTGTATGGACACTCCCTTGAAGCCAGATTAGCCCTTGAGAGGCAGGTTAAGGGGTCAGCCTCCCCCTCCCCTCAGACCATGTTGGGTGGGAGGAACCATTCGGGAGCATCCCACCTGCCCTGCTGTGGGCCTGACGCCTTTCTGCACCGGGAGGAGCCGAGGCCCAGCCTTGGGGGAGGTGGGCAGGCCAGATGCCCAAGAACCCGCCAGCAAAGGGAGCTGCATTCCAAGGCTCCAAGCAGCTTTCCGGGCAGGCTGTGCAAGGGGACTCTAAGGGGGTGGGAGGTGGGAGGTGGGTGCCAAGTGCAGGTCTCCTGACTCCCACCTCCCTGTTGCCTTCAGGCCTGGCAACTTTTGGAGTACCGTGTCTTCTGGCCAGACCTGGCCTGTGGTACAAGGCTCCCTTGGGGGCCCTTCTCCAGGACCAGGGCCTGAGGGTCTGCCATACCCCTGAGGTGTAAACCTGTCCTGGGTATGTCTGACAGCAGCTTCCCTACCCCCTGATGCACAGCCAGAGGCCTCCTGGGATAGAAGCTCCAGGTGGTGGAGCCCACCCTGAGTGTTATCCGTTCTACAGCCACACCCAGGTGCCTTCCCCCAGCCAGGCTCCGTCCATCCCAGAAGGGCAGTGCCCTGCTGCACACAGGATCTCTCAGGTCCGGCTGTAGCTAGCAATTTGGCACAGGCTGCTCAGGACACTGGTGTCCCTCCCCTTTCCCCACAAACACTCGCTCTCCCTAGGCTCGGCAGCCTGGCCCCCACCACCTTGGGACACGGGCTACGAGAGGAAGAGGGTTTGCATGTTGCTTCAAGACACTGAGCTGCCTCCTTGAACCTCTGCCAGGCAGAACGGGGCCTGCAGTGGTCCAGGTGGGCAGATGAGTGGAGAGTACTCAGCCCCTGCAGAGTTCAGGGGCTGCTGAAGTGCAGATGGGTCACTACCCATGGCTGGAGATGGTCAGTCCAAGGGCCTTGGCATAGGGATAAAGGGCTGTGTCCTCCGCTAGACAGGAATGTACTCGGTGGGCGCTGCAAACACTGCTAGGCTGCATTTTATGGTCAGATACTTGTAACCCTCAGCACGTGTCAGAATGGGCTCCTACCCAGGGGGTCCCTGGAAACTCCAGAAGCAGAGAGGCAGCTGGGAGCCAGCTGGGAGATGACCACGCACACCCTTGCCCTCTCATGTACTCAAGCTTTTTTATGTGATGAAATTCACGTAACAAAACGGTTTCAAAGTGAACAATTCAGTGGTACTTAGGAAATTCACAATGTATGCCATCACTTCTGCACTTCTACCTAGTTCCAAAACATTTTCATCACCCCAGAAGAAAGCCTTGTGCCCATCATACAATTGCGGTCCAGCCCCTGGAACCACCAGTCCTCTTTCTGCCTCCATGGATTTACCTGTCCTGGACGTTTCCTATAATGGAATCATACAACATGTAGTCTTTTGTGTCTGGCACCTTTCACTTAGCATGTTTTCAAGATTCAACCATGTTATAGCATGCGTCAGAATTTCATTCTTTATTCATTGGTGGACATTTGGGTTGTTTCCATCTTTGGCTATTATGAATTGAGAGCGAGAGAGAGAGAGAGAGAGAGAGAGAGAGAGAGAGAGTGTGTGTGTGTTAGAATACTACTTTTTAATTCTTTGGGGTAGATACCCATGGGTGCAATTGCTGGGTCATATGGTAGGTCAACTTAACTTTTTGAAGAACTGCCAGACTGTTTTCCAAGCAGCTGCACTATTATTTTGCATTCCCATCGGCCATGTCGGGGAGGGCTCTAGTTTCTCCACAGTTCCACCAACACTTACCAGCAGGTTTGATTCTGGCCATCCTAGTGGGTGTGAAGTGGTGTCTCACAGCAAGTTCTGATTTGCGTTTCCCTGATAACTAGTGATGAGCATCTTTTCATGTGCTTATTGGCTGTTTGTTTTCTTCTTTGTATAAATGTCTATTCTAGTCCTTTGTGAATTTTTAAAACAGGTTGTTTTCTGTTGTTTAGTTTTAAGGGTTCCTTCCATATTCTGGATACAAGACCCTTATCAGATAATACAGTTTGAAAATATTTCCTTCCATTTTGCAGGTTGTCTTTTCACTTTTTTTTTGAAGTCCAGTTTTTTTCTTTATTTGCCCATGCTTTTGTGTCATAACAACTAATCCATTGCTACATCCAAGGTCATGACATTTTACCTATATTTTCTTCTAAGAGTTCTGCAGTTTTTGTTCCTACATTTAGGTCACTGGTTCATTTTCAGTTGATTTTTGAATACTCTGTGAGCTAAGAGCCCAACTCCATTCTTTAGTGTTTATATCTAGTTGTCCAGCACCATTTGTTAAAAAGACTATCTTTTCCTCATTGAATGGTCTTGGAACCCTTGTTAAAAAATCACTCAATCATATATGTGAGGGTTTATTTCTGTCCTCTCCATTCGGTTCCATTGGTCATAAAAGCCACATAGTATAGACATATAGCCTGTCCTTACACCAGTACCACACTGTCGACTTTCTACCTCTTTTTCAAGATTATTTTGGCCACTTGGGAGCTCTTGTAATATGGTGTGAATTTTAGAAGCAGCTTTTTCCATGGCTGGAAAAAAAAAAAAAGCCATAGGGATTTTGATAGGGATTGCATTGAATCTATAGATCGCTTTCAGTAGTATTGTCATCATAATTATATTGTCTTTTAACCCATGAACATAGGATGTTTTTCTATTTATTTAGGTCTTTAATTTCAGCAATTCTTGTAGCTCTGAATACAAGTCTTTCACCTCCTTAGTTAAATTTATTCCTAGATGTTTTCTTATTTTAGGTGCTATTTTAAGTGGTATTGTTTTCTTTCTTTCTTTTTAATTCTCACCCAAGGACATGCTTTTTAATTGATTAGAGAGAGAGAGGAAGGGAGAGGGAGAGGAAAAAAAGAAACATCATTGTGAGAAGGAAGCACCGATTGGTTGCCTCACGCATGTGCCCCTGCCAGGGATCGAACTCAAAACATGGTACAGTGGGGCCTTGACTTACGAGTGTCCCGACTAACGAGTTTTTTGAGATAACAGCTGTCTCTTGGCCGATTTTTTTGCATTGAGTTGATAGAGTAATTTGAGTTAATGAGCTCGGTCTCGGAACGAATTAAACTCGTAAGTCAAGGCCCCACTGTATATGTCCTGACCGGGAATTGAACCTATGACCCTCTGGTATATGGGACGATGCTCTAACCACTGAGTTACACTGGCCAGGGCAGTATTGTTTTCTTAACTTCCTTTTCAGATTGGTCACTGCTGGCACAGAAATATTGCTGATTTATGTGTGTTGATCTCATGCCTTAAACTTTACTGAATTCATTTATTAGCTCTAGTAGTTGTTATTTTGTAGATTCTTGGGATTTTGTGTAGGATTATTTAATCTGCAAATGGAGATAGTTTTACTTCTTCCTTTCAATTAGATGCCTTTTATCTCTTCTTCTTGCCTAATTGTGCTGGCTAGACCTCCAGTATAATGTTGACATGCATTGCTGAGTTCCTGACCTGGAGGAAAGCATGCATTCTTCCACCTCAGGGCATGCTGCTCACTGTGGGTGCTTTGTTGGTGCCCTTTATCCTGTGGGGCAAGTACAGTCCTATTCTTTCCTGTGGCGGCACAAGCAGAGCCCTGTGGTTACTGAGATGGTGTGGCTCTGCCGCATTCCTCTGCCCACAGGTCCACCCTCCAGAAAGGATTTGAGGACAGAGCTATGGGGTTCTTCGGAGGTTTTGGGGGGGCCTCTTACTCCTCAGAGTCCTCAAGCCCCTCACAGGCATGATGTCTGTCACAACCCAGAAAGGCACAGATCCTGCTGGCTTGACCCCCCCTCGTCCCAGGTGGAGACTTGGGCCCCATCCTGTGGGCCTCTACTGACTAGGGCCTTCCCTTGCAGCCACACGCACTCGCCCGGGTCCATGGCCACGGTTGGAGAGTGGTCCTGCGCGCGCTGCACCTTCCTGAACCCGGCCGGCCAGCGCCAGTGCTCCATTTGTGAGGCCCCCCGGCACAAGCCTGACCTCGACCAGATCCTGCGGCTCAGCGTTGAGGAGCAGAAATGGTCTTGCGCCCGATGCACATTCCGGAACTTCCTGGGCAAGGAGGCCTGCGAGGTGTGTGGCTTTGCCCCAGAGCCCGTGCCTGGTGCCTCCCTGTTGCCAGTCATCAACGGGGTCCTATCCAAGCCGCCCACCATCCTGGTGGAGCCCAAGGGCAGCTGCAAGGAGGAGACGGGTCCAGTGCAGACAGAAGAACTAGTGACCATGGAGCCAGCTGCGGGCCGGCCCGAGGAGGAGGGCGGGGCAGCAGAACCTGGGAGCGGCTGGGCCTGCCCTCGCTGCACACTGCACAACACTCCCGTCGCCAGCTCCTGCTCTGCCTGTGGCGGCCCCCGGAAACTCTCGCTGCCCAGGATTCCTCCTGAGGCTCTAGTGGTCCCTGAAGTTGTGGCCCCCGCCGGCTTCCACATCACACCTGCCCCACCCCAGCCGGGGGAAGGTGCTGAGGCCGACCCTCCCTCTGCTGCTGACCAGGAGCCACCCCGGGTGCCACCATTCAGCCCCTTCTCGCCCACTTTGCAGAACAACCCCGTGCCTCGCAGCCGCCGTGAGGTACCCCCCCAGCTGCAGCCACCGGTGCCTGAGGCCACCCAGCCCTCACCCCCTGCTGGCTTCAAGGGGCCTCCCCAGAGCCCAGGGTGGACTTCGACTGGGGCCTCCCGCTTGGCAGAGCTGCTGTCAGGCAAGCGGCTGAGCGCTCTGGAGGAGGAGGAGGCCGAGGGCGGCTCCGTGCTGCGCCGCTGCAGCTCCTGCTCGGCCCCCGGCCCCTCCAGCCTGTGCGAAGCCTGTGCCGCCGCTCCAGGCAGCGATGTCATCGACCTGACCGGCGATGCCGTGCGCTACACGCCGGCCAGCCCTTCCAGCCCCGACTTCACCACGTGGTCGTGCGCCAAGTGCACACTCAAGAACCCCACAGTGGCCCCTAGGTGCACTGCGTGTGGCTGCTCCAAGCTACATGGCTTCCAGGAGCACAGCGAGCCCCCTGTCCGCTGCCCTGACTGCAGCGCCGACAAGCCCAGCCTCTGCACTGCCCACAAAGCTGGCCGCCTCTTTCCTGAGGCACCTGAGCGCCCGGGCCAGTGGGCCTGCCCTGCCTGCACACTGCTCAATGGGCCACGGGCTAAGCACTGTGCCGCCTGCCACACGCCTCAGCTCCTGGAGGCCCAGCGCAGGGGTGCGGTGCCCCTGAGGCGCAGGGAGAGCATGCTGGTGGAGAAGCGGCGGCAGACGGACGAGGGCGAGGCCAAGGCCCTCTGGGAGAACATCGTGGCCTTCTGCCGGGAGGTGAGTCCCCTCAGGACAGTAGCCACCCACCAGGGCTGATGCTCCCCTTCCCATGGGCCTCTCTCTGCGTCTTTTGTCCTTTCCTGCAGGCCCTTCTCCAGCCACAGAGAGGGAGGGACCAGCGGCAAGAGAGGCAGCATTCTCTTCCCCGAGCTCTGAGCATTAGCCTGGCACCTACTCACCCCTCAACTGAGAGTGACTGGCCCCCACTATCCACATCTTGTCCCTTTTTTCTCTCTGCCCACAAGAGTCCATGGCCTCCTAGTCTGTGGTCCTGACCCCTTTCAGGTGTTATTTCCCATAGACATTGAAGCCACAAGGAGGTGGGGACAGGCTTCATGCCAGCAGGCAGGCCCTGTGTTTCCTTCAGCTGTGGAGACATGGCCAGAACTCGGGGTTCTCTTGCCCTTGGAGCTGTGGGAGGCCTGAGCCCAGGATAGTGTCACCCTCAGGTCAACTGGGGAAGGGGGGCTGCTGCCCCTGTCACTGCCAGTAACCCACCCTCACGGCCCCTCGGGTCTTCTGTCCTGCCTTCCCCATCCCACTTGGGTCCTCCCACCTCTCTTCCTGGGGCCTTTAAGTGGTGGGCCATGGACCAGCTGGGGAGGCTGCCCAGTTCCCTGTGCCCCCTGCCCTCCACCTCTGCAGCCTCCAGGCTGGTGGCTTCACCATTTCTCTGGGGCACACATACCTCCCATTGACCTGTCGCCAGGCTTCAGTGACATGGCTGGCTACAGTCCCCCATGCCTGCACCGCTGAGCTCACCACACGGGTCAGGGGAGCTACACACACACCTACCCCCTTTCCTCTGGGACTTGGGTAGCATCTTCAGGGTGCTGTCCTGGCCTGCCAGGTGGAGTGAGGTGCATCTTGAGCCTGGGGCGGCCCAACTCAGCCTGAGCATATGTGGCTATGGTCTCTGCAGAACAGCGTGAACTTCGTGGATGACAGCTTTCCACCCGGGCCCAAGTCTGTGGGCTTCCCTGCAGGCGACAGTGTCCAGCAGCGCGTGAGACAGTGGCTGCGGCCACACGAGATCAACTGCTCTGTCTTCAGGGACCATAGCACCTCCTGGTCCGTGTTCCACACTCTCCGACCCTCAGACATCCTACAGGGGCTGCTGGGCAACTGCTGGTGAGTTTGGGGTATCTGCTCAGGCTGGGTGGTGGGACAGTCTGGTCGTGCTTTCTAGTGAGGCCCCGGCTCTGCACAGGTTCCTGAGTGCTCTAGCTGTGCTGGCGGAGCGGCCTGACCTGGTGGAGCGGGTGATGGTCACACGCAGCCTGTGCACAGAGGGCGCCTACCAGGTGCGGCTCTGCAAGGACGGCACGTGGACGACGGTGCTGGTGGATGACATGCTGCCCTGCGACGAGGCCGGCTTCCTCCTCTTCTCGCAGGTGGTAGGGAGGATGGGCGTGGGGTGGGCGAGGGGAGGGTCTCGGTGGGCCTCGTGACTTCGGCCCCTCCCTGCAGGCCCAGCGGAAGCAGCTGTGGGTGGCCCTCATTGAGAAGGCGCTGGCCAAGCTGCACGGCTCCTACTTTGCCCTCCAGGCAGGGCGCGCCATCGAAGGCCTGGCCACCCTCACCGGGGCCCCCTGTGAGAGCCTGGCGCTGCAGGTCAGCTCCACTAACCCCCGAGAGGAACCCGTTGACACTGACCTCATCTGGGCCAAAATGCTGAGTTCTAAGGAGGCTGGGTAAGAGGGGCGGGTGCTGCAGCGGCAGCAGCTTTGGGAGGAGAGGAAAGAGGAGGCAAGGGGACAGCCAGGCCGGGGCCTGGAGCGGTGGGCTACTCAGGGGCAAGTACCCTCTGACCAACAGCCTGTGTTTCATAAGATGTTTCCAATGTGGGCTGACCACAGTTAATTAGAAGGCCTGGCCTGCAGCCCTGTCATCTCCCACTGCTGGCTCATGGGTCCCACCTGCCAGTCCAGGGCAGTAGGCAGAATACTGCTGATCAGCCCGTACCTAGCAGGCCTCATCCTGACCTGGGCCATGATGACCATCAGCACCTGCTTGGAGACCTGTGGGGCTAGCCCATGGAGGCACCTGGGGGGAGTGGGCTGCCTTCTGAGACCCGCACGCATTGGCCAGCATGTCTGTAAGGAGGGCCCCAAATCCTAAGCCCGAGAGAGATGGCTTGTTGGTGCTGAGACCCCCTGCTCTCAGCTGATACTGGGCATGACCACCCCCCCTCCCCTCGGAAGTTGTGGCCCTGAGCTGATGGGACCCAGGCCTCCCGACTCCCAGCCCAAACCCTGTGAGCTCTTGGGCCACTGTGTAGGGAGCAGGCCAACACTTCCCGAGTCCTGTATGTCTTTCCTGTGTTCCTGGGACCTGCACTCCCCCACAGGCAGGCAGGACCCCCACCCTCAGGGTAACAAGTCCCCTGGTGAGTGAGCCCTCCTCAGTGAATGAGGCTCCTGGTTCCTACGGGGCCCCATCATTAAGAACCCCTGGTCAGCAAGCCTGCCCGGTCAGCTAAGCCACTCTGCCTACACAGGTTCCTCATGGGCGCCTCTTGTGGGGGGGGCAACATGAAGGTGGACGATGCTGCCTACGAGAGCCTGGGCTTGCGCCCCCGCCACGCCTACTCCATCCTGGATGTCCGTGATGTCCAGGGCTCCAGGTAGGAGCTGGGCCGGCCATGGGTAGCCAGGGCATGTGGATGTGTGTGGAAGCCATGGCCCTCAGCCTCATGGTCCGCAGGCTCCTGCGCCTCCGGAACCCATGGGGCCGCTTCTCCTGGAACGGCAGCTGGTCGGATGAGTGGCCACACTGGCCGGGGCATCTGCGTGGTGAGCTCATGCCGCACGGCAGTAGTGAAGGCGTCTTTTGGATGGAGTACAGCGACTTCATCAGGTACCTGGACTCTGCCGCACTGGGCGTCCGATGTCTACCCCATGGCCACCTGTGCTCTAGCCACCCTCACTTAGGCCCACCTGACCTGTCGCTGCCCTCACTCCCTTGCCCTGACCCAGTGTGTCCTACCTGGGGAGCCCGGCCTGTCCCTCTGAGACCTGAGGCGGAGGTGGGGGTGATGAGAGAGACTGTGGGCGTTGGGTTCTGCCCTCAGGACTCTTTCCTCTCTGGGTCATCCTTGGGCATGGGGCCTCCTAGTGGTGTTCATGAGCAACAGCCAGGACCAGGGTTTTAGGACATTGGTCCCAGGAAGTGGCCAGGGCACAGTGGGGCAGAGATTGGGGAGGGGGAGAGGCTTAGGGAGGTGCCTGGGCTCCTGTGTCTGGAGCTGTTCAGTGGGCTGTCCTCTCACTGCTCAGGTACTTCGACTCTGTGGACATCTGCAAAGTGCACTCGGACTGGCATGAGGTGCGGGTGCAGGGCTGCTTCCCCAGCTCGGCCAGTGGGCCCATCGGGGTGACGGCGCTCACCGTGCTGGAGCGTGCGTCCCTGGAGTTCGCCCTCTTCCAGGAGGGTAGCAGGTGAGGGAGGCTGTGGTCTGTGGGGGAGAGGGTGGGTGGGACTAGAGCACTGGTTGGGGTGGGCAGGCGATCTGGGGGATTTGTGGAAACGGGGCAGGGTGGGGCCATGGGGCAGTAGAGCCACAGATGGCAGGTGCTGCCTGTGACCCCTCCTGGGTCTGGCTGTAGGCGCGCGGACTCGGCTGACAGCCACCTCCTGGACCTGTGCGTCCTGGTTTTCCGAGCCTCCTTCGGCAGCGGTGGCCGCCTGAGCCTGGGCCGCCTGCTGGCCCACAGCAAGCGAGCCGTCAAGAAGTTTGTCAACTGTGACGTGATGCTGGAGCCCGGCGAGTACGCCGTGGTGTGCTGTGCCTTCAACCACTGGAGCCCCACCACGCCGGGCCCACTGGCCGCCACACAAGGTAACACTGCCCCCCAGCCCGATCCCAAACCTCCCCACTGCAGCCCCCAGGCCCCCTCACTCACACCCTCCACAGCCTCCAGCCCCTCAGCAGGGGTCCCACGCTGCTCCCTGGAGCCACCTGGCCATGTGCTGGCTGTGTACAGCTCAAGGCTGGTCATGGTGGAGCCCGTGGAGGCCCAGTCAACCACGCTGGCAGACGCCATCATCCTGCTCACGGAGAGCCGAGGGGAACGGCATGAGGTGAGGTTGGCAGGGGAAAGGGGAGGGGCAGGGAGGAGGAGGCCTCACCCTACCCACACCTGCCCTGTCCCTGCAGGGACGTGAGGGCATGACCTGCTACTACCTGACGCATGGCTGGGCGGGGCTCATCGTGGTGGTGGAGAACCGGCACCCCAAGTCCTACCTGCATGTGCAGTGTGACTGCTCCGATAGCTTCAACGTGGTGTCCACACGCGGCAGCCTGCGCACCCAGGACAGTGTGCCACCCCTGCACAGGTGGGCACCGCCCCAGTCCCTCTGACTCCCTGGCCTCCACTGGCCCTCACCGGCCCCCTCCCCCAGGCAGGTCCTGGTGATCCTGTCCCAGCTCGAGGGCAACGCCGGCTTCTCCATCACCCACCGCCTGGCACACCGCAAGGCAGCCCAGGCCTTCCTCAGCGACTGGACAGCTTCCAGGGGCACCCACAGCCCCCCACTCACGCCCGAGGTTGCTGGCCTGCACATGCCCCGGCCATTGTGACTGCCCTGCCCTCGCCTGCCTGCCTCCCACATGCACTTTAGGAGGGAGACCCCAACAGAAGATGCTTGAACCAGAATCTCAGGACCCCACCCAGGGAGCTGCAAGCCGCAGAGCAAACTCCCTGGGCCTTCCTCCCTGCCCCCCCTCCTGTCCCGGGCCTCCCAGCGCCAAGCAGAATACCTCCAACCTGCTTCTAGCGAGAGGGGACTGTGCACCAGCTCCTCTGACCAGCCTGCCTCGAGGCCGGGTTCAGATTGCCAGGGCTGAGGTGAGGCTGCCCGTTCCTGTGGGCCTGGGGCCTCCTGCCTGTGTGAGGCAGCCAAGAGCTCCATTTACAAAACCAAATCTGGGCAGGTCAGAGGCTGGGACCCCAGAGTGAGCAGGGACCACCCCCTTGTGGAGTAAGAGGTTGGGACCCTGAGATGGGTAGGGACCACCCCCATGTGGGAGTCAAAGGCCAGGACTCCAGGGTGAGCAGGGACCACCCTCTTGTGGGGGGTCAGAGGCCAGGACCTGAGTGTGAGCAGGGACTACCCCCTTGTGGGGGTCAGAGGCCAGTACCCCAGTGTGAACAGGGACCACCCCCTTGTGGGGGTCAGAGGCCAGTACCCCAGTGTGAGCAGGGACCACCCCCCTTGTGGGGGACAGGTTGGGACCCTGAGATGAGCAGGGACCACCCATTGTGGGGCATGAGCCTCCTATCCCCAGCTTGCTTCAAGAGCTCATCTTCCCACCCCCTCCGGCTCCACAAGGCAAGCAGGGGTCCCTGGAATCCCAGCAGTGTATCCCAGGAGGCAGGTGCCTGGCGACCATGGGCTCAGGACCAGGGATGGGGAGGGTCCTAGCTGCCTGCCCCCTCTGGCGACACTATGCAATTCCTGGACCACTAGTCAGGATCGAAGCCATGCCCCGGGGGCTGTGGGTCAGGAGCTGCCGTTTGGTGAGGTGGTTTGTCCTCAGCACCACTGACCTCTGCCAGGAAGACCAGGGTCCAAACAGAAATCCTTGGCCAGCCCTGTCTGGGCACACAGGGTAGGTTGTGGCTCTTCCCAGCTCCTCCCCTGCCTCAGAAGTCCAGGTTGCTGGGCTGCCTCCCAGCCATCCTCCCCCATGGCTGCTCAAAGTCCTGCACCTGCCTGTGGACATGAGGCCAGCTTCCAGGGGCCCGCCTGGCCTCTGCCCTCCCGCCCCAGGCAGTGGGCGGCTCTGCCCACCACCCCTCACTTCCCTGGGGCTTGCGGGGGGGTTTACAACTGGAGAAACACCAGGAAGCACTGCACTCCCCTTTGGGCCTCCTTTATATTTTCTCCTTTTACTCTTGAGCTGTGAATATTTTTAACCCTGTACATACAGCCAGCTCTTCTCACACAGAGACTATTTTATCAGCCATCCCCAGCCCCGTAGGATGATTCTCCATGGTGTTTCCAGACTCAGGCTCTGATGGACCAAATGAAATGTTTTGTTTTATAATGCTGTCTCCTCATCTGTCTGTACTCCTCCCCTCGCCTGGATGTGCAGAACCCATGACGTTGGGGGTGGCTTGCCGGTACCGGAGTTCATCCTCACAAGGAGCCTTTAGGGCCCCCCTGCTCACCAGCTGCCTTTGACCCAGAAAGGAGCAAGTGTCCAAGCAGAGGCTTGGGCCAGACCGTGTGGTGGTCGGCAGGCTGGTCCCCACACAGCCTCAGCCGCATGCAGACAGAAGGATAGTACGGATGTGCGGCTTTTCCCAGCGACGCCTTTCTGGGGGTGCCTGTCTGGATTCATCAGTCATCAGGCAGGAGCAGATGGAGCATGGGGGCCGCTGAGGAAGAAAAGTTTCAATTCTCCTGCGGGTTGCGACCTGCTACTGTCTGGCCCCGGGTCCCCTCCTGTTCATTCTGGGAGGCACCATCCTCTTGTCACAGGTGGCAAGGCCAGCTCCCCCACCTGGTATGCGGTTTTTGGTCTCAGTCTAGGCTCCTCCCTGAATGGTGGGGGGGTCTGGGGTACAGAGGCTGGCACGCAGCGAGTGTAAGAGGCCTGTCACAGGCCAGCCTATCGAATGTGAAAGCAATTAAAGCCACCAGCAGTGTTCGCTCCAGGCGGGCCTCGGGCAGCGGGGGAGCTGCCACAACACATCTCACCTCGACGCCCAAAGACACCCGCCCTGATCCTCCGCGGCTGTGCTGGCCACACTGGACCCTCTCCCGTGGGGCAGGGGCCAGGCCTCGTAGACCCTCCAGTTGGAAAGCTGCTCAGTCACCCCTCCGGCGTTCCAGGCAGCCTGGACTAGTTCCAGTGGGTGCCTGGCATCCTTGTGGTGTCAGGCCAGGCAGGGGTCATCACAGTGGGGCGTGGGGCTGCATGCCGATCCCCGTGGCCAGCCTGGAGACACTGCTCACCCCAGCCAGCACCCCTCCCCTTAGACCCCAGCCTGTAGGGGAAGAGGTTCCAACAGGGAGAGAGTAAGAGAAGGGGCCAGGTGCCCCCAGCCCCAGAGGGCACAGTGTCCAAGGAGTTGGGGGACCCCACAGGCAAGACCCTTAGTCATGACACTGAAGCTTGAAGGGCGTGCTGGCAGGGCCAACCACTAGAGGGGCTGAGACCGCTAGTGGGGAGAGGGTGGGGGGAGCTAACCCAGCCTGAGGGTAAACCACCGGTTGTGCCCTCAGCCATACAGGGTGGCACCAGGACCCCAGGCCAGGGAGTGGACAGGGCAGATGACCACAGCAGGGAGAGGGCACGAGATGGGACTGTCGCCCTCCTCACTGTTGGGCTTGGCTCCCCACCTCAGCCGGCTGTATCTCGCCCTCTGACTGCTGGGGCTCCTGCTTCCGAGGGCTCCTTGCTCCCCTTCTCTTCCCCACCCTCCCCCTTGCCAACACCCCTGGCCCCCACCTTGTCTCTGCCACTTGGGTTGGCCCTGTGTGCCCCACGGCCCTCTCTCCGGCCCCTCTCCCAGGCTGTCTCTCTGCCCACCCATTGGCCAAGGCGGCCTTCCCAGGCCGGGCGGTGATGTGTTCTCACTTGTGAGGCATTCCTGTCAGAAGCACTTAGTGTACAAATTAGCCTCTGCCTCCCGCCTCCCTCTACACAGCTCTGGGCGCTGGACTGACAAGGCCGAGGCTCCCGGCCCTCTCCCGCCTGCCCCAGGGCTGGGGCGCCAAGCCCATGTGCACCCCTGGCCACCCACCCACAACCCAGCAGGAGGGAGGCCCCCCGGCCGCCGGCTTCTCTCAAGGACCCAACCTGATCTGGATGGGAGCACAGAGGGTGGGGTGCGCAGGGATATATTGGGGGCCAGCACCTGGGTCCGCCCCCGGTGTCAGGTCCCTGTTGAGAGCCATGAGGGACGGACGGGAGCCATGCAGAGGCTCTGCAGCCCCACCCGCTGGCCAGCCTGCCACTCAGGCAGGAAAAATCGGCTATGACAGGCCCAGGAAGGCCAGGCCCCGGGGGCCCAAGGGACAACGCACACAGCTCCTCTTCCAACATATGGTTGCTGTCGGCCTGGGGCGTTGCTTGGCCAGTGCTGGCTGAAGCTGGGTGGGGGCTCAGGGGCTCAAGCCACTCATCCCACCCACCTGGCCAGGCTGCTCCCTCAACGATCCAAAGGCTCCTGCTCCAGTTCGCATGCCGCCCACCATGGGGAGCTCACTCCCACTGCAGCCCCTCCATCACAGCAGTCTGGGGCACACCGAGTCTCCACACCCCACGCCAGAGTGGGTGGGGGCCTGGTGCATCTGGGGGTAGAGCACACGGGGAGGGCAGCTAGTGGGAGGACGCAGGACGCAGCACATTTGAAGTGGGCACGGGACAGTGCTGGCCCAGGAAGCAGATGCAGAGGCCTCGGGTCCCTGGTATCAGAAGCCTCCCCGCTGGACCCCTTTCCTCCCGGTGGGCCAGTTCTGGCAGCCCCTCACAGGTTCCCCAGGGACTCCCAGCGCTCCATGTCACTGCAGTGGAGTCGTGAAAACGTGCTGGGATCCCCATCCACACAGACACCCAGCCCCGTCACCGGCTCGGCCCCTCCCCCCACCCTGCTGTGGGCCCCAGTGCTCTTGGGAGCAGTGACTTCAGGTATGACCCCCTACGGCCAAGCCCTGGGCCCAGCCCTCTCAGCCTTGGCTCCCTGAGGCCACCTCGAGTGGGCAAGGTGGAAGGAGTGCCAAGGATGACCCATGCTCTGGGCCCCAGGGGCTTGTGGACACCAAGGCTGCCATATGTCCCAGGCCTCATCAGGGAGAGGGTGAGCGAGGCATGGCCATCACCTGCATGGTGTGACCCCTCTAAGGGTCTATCAGACCCTGCCTGGGGGCTCCCGCTGCCCCCACCCCCACTCCTCTATCCACTGGGCAGGCTAACTCAGTCCCTACCCCTGTCCTGGCAAAAGCTGTGTGTGTACACTGAGGGGATGAGACAGGCCTACTGGGCACCGTGCCACCGCCCCCTGCCTTCCCTGGACCCCCTGTCCGTTCTACTCCCACCCCCATCCCCAGACACACACATTCAGGCACTAATGGAGGTGACAGCGGGGGGCTGTGGGCAAGTTGGGCAGGTTAATGGCCAAGATGAGCTCTGGCTGAGGGCAGGGGAAGGTGCTATGGGTCCCCACACCACCCTGTTCCAGGACCAGCTGAGGAGAGAAGGCTGCTCCCCAGGACCTGGTGCCAGAAGCATCCAGAGACTAAGTAAGTCTCCACCACCCATTCTGCAAGTGAGGGGACCTAAGCAAGGGTTCCAGGACTCAGGGCAACATGGGGACCAAGCCCCATGCCACGGGGGTGCCTGTCACTGCCTGAGGAGACAGACGGCCTCCCTGGGCCCAAGTTTGCCCCAGTATGTGGGGTGAGTCCCACTGGGCAGGTTATCACCCACCCCCACACCCCACTTGGGTGGAAAGTGGGACAGGCCCCAGGCACAATGTGTACCAGCTGTGCGGGAGCAGATGTGCCTGGAGAGCCTCGAGCAGAAAGCACAAGGGTGTGGGGGGCTGGCACTGATGTTCTGGCCTCGCCTGGTCTCGGGTGCTGGGGACGGTCATCTGTGCACCTGATGGACTGGCCTGACACATGCACAGGCCCCTGGGCTGCAGCTGCAACCGAGCTCCCAGGACCCCCCCCACCACCACCACCACCACTCCAGATAGCAAGCTTGGGGCCCACTTTCGCCCCTGCACAGACCCCGCCTGGAAGCCCAGAAACTTACCCAGGTCATGCCCCTTGGGTGCTGAGTTCCTCTGGAGGCGCTGCCATCTCTCTGCTCACCCAAAGTTCTGGGGGGGGGGGGGGGAAGGCCACAATGACAGCCACCATGGCTGGTGCTGAACTCACTTTCCGTGGCTACCTCCTCTTCCCAGAGCCCAGTCCTCATCTCTTCCCGGGGGCTCCTTGGTCACCTGACTTCACTGGCCCGTTCACTCTGTGTGCTTCGAGCAAACTTTCTAATCCAATACCTTTCCCTCCCCTGAATGATGGCAACAGCCTCTAACCAGCTCATCCGCTGTGGTGGCAGCTGTGGCCTCTCAGAGGGGTCAGCCAGTGAGGGGCAGGGAAGCACAAAGCTGTTTCTGGGACCACATGGCCAAGATCGGGGATCCCCACTCACACTGTCTCAAGGTGACCTGCGCCCACTGCCCTCTCTGGGCAGTGCCTGTGACGAGGGTCCTGGGCCTGGCTGGGCATGTCCTGGGTTGGGTTTGTGTGCAAAGGAGCAGGCCTCCTGGCCCCCACTCTCCACAGGACTGCTGGCGTGACGGCTGCTCAAGCTGTCTCTCGGCCTGGGGCTGCCTGCACGGTCAGCTGGTCAGCCGGGCCAGGCCAGGCCGGCGGAGAGGAGAAAGCGGGCATGCTGTGCCACCCACTGCGGCCCTTCCTGCTCGTGGACTTGATGGGGAGAAATGGAGCACCCCCAGTGGCATCAGGGAAGGTGGCGCTGGAGCAGAAGGGAGACCGGACTGCACACTCACCCTCACATCAGTGACTTCACACTGGCTGCCCCCAGAAACTCGGGACCCTGTTCCTTATGAACACGTGTTGGTTGAACAAGGACACCTGTGCCAATAACTGGGCCATGGCCTGTCCCCCTCCTGCACAAATTGGGAAACTGAGGCCTGGCTCACAGGGCCCAAGACATGCTAAACTCTGGGTCCAGTTCTCTCCAGTTCTCTTTTCCCCATTCGAGATGGGACACCCAGAGGCCCCTAGAGGGTACTCCTTCCTTCCCCTACGTACTCCTGTCCCCCAGACTGAGCTGGGGATACTCCAGGAAACCTATAGCTGAGCCTACAGGGAGAGCCAAGTGAACTCTCATGGGGCCCTCTGTGCCTCCACGGAGCCAGCCTGGAGCAGCACTCCCCGCTTTGGCGGCAGATCCCATACCCTGCCTGAATGGCACCATCACACATCTCCGGTATTTTCTCCTGAATGAGGCAGATTTGCTGGGAGAAACATGGCCTGGCTCTGTCCTGGCTTGTCTGTGTCTGTGTCCAGATGGAACTGGCTGGCCAGATGAATTTCCATGAGGACCCAGCTGAGAAGCAGTGGGACCCCAGACTTAAGATTTGATATCTTGGGGAACAATGTGGAAGCTGGTATAACCTGGGTGGGGCTGGGAGCAGCTCCGGCCACGGGGACATTAGCGGGGAGCATGGTGGGTCTGTGGATATATAAGCCTCTCTCTGGCCGCCCCCCCTTCCCCCTCCGCAGGCCCTCCAGCAGTGGAGAGGAGCGCAGACAGAAGGTGGAGGGCTGTACAGTCTTCCTGGGGCACCTGCCAGGGGACTGAGGAGTCTGGGCTGGGACTGGAGGAGGTGGTAATGCTTTCAGGAAGTGGGGGGTGAATGTATGGGTCAGTGGGAAGGGCAAGGGTTTGGGGGTGCAGTCCATTCAGCCTCCTGTTTGGAGAAGAGGAAACAGCACTGGAGGCATGGCTTGGGCAGGCAGAGCTAGCCAGAAAAGGATTCTTGTTCCACTGTCCCCCCTGGGCTGGGCTGCAGCACACCCCGCCCCAGGCTGGCTCTGTTCCCCACAGCACCCCCTGTCCTGGGGCTTGGCCCCTAGGCCCTGGCTCAGGCAGGCAGCTGTCAGGGGCCAGAGCCCTGCCCTGACGGATGAGTGCTGACGGCCCCTCTCCATGTGCCCTCGGCCGCTGACACCCCATCACACCGCTGCGGGGACCCCGGGAGACCTGCAGCCTCTGCGCGCACCCCCGCGGCAGCCTGCAGGCGACGGGGGGCGGGGACGGTGCCAGGCGCCCCGCATTCGTCTGTACACCTGCGCCTCCACTCTCCTGGCTCCTCCGCGACGCTGGCTGCCCGTCCCTGGTGGTGCCACTGGTGTCACCGGCCACCGCTCCATCCAGGAGTTCCCGGCGCCGCGGGGCGAGCTGGTCAGGTCCTGGGCGCGCCAGGCTGGTGAGTGCGCGCGAGGGGGTGACTGTGCGCGGGGGCTGGGGGACAGCGGGTCACCTGGGGTGGCCGAGGGGAGACCGCAACCTGCGGCCGCTCTCCCCCGCCCCCGCGAGCCCGTGTTGGAGGTCGCAGCGCCCCCCGGAGCCCAGCGCGGCGGCGCACGCGCGGCCGCTCCTGCCGCCAACTTCAGTGGGTGCGAGTCGGCGTCGGGGTACTCGGTCGGTGGCGGAGGCTTCGGGGACTCGCTGCCAAGTGAGTGGCTGCAGACCGCGCGCGCGGAGGGGCGGGGGGCGCTCCCAGCACCCGGCCTCAGTTTCCCCCGCGGGAGTCCGTGTCGCTGCCCCAGAGCCTGAGCCGGTTTCGCGTGGGGTGGGGAGAAAAGGGTGCCGGGTGGGGAAGGAGCGAGAAGTTTCTGCCTGGTCCTGGGGGCGACGCGCAGACTTCACGGGGCGCCGCGGGCTCTGCTCCGGCCAGGGCGCAGGTAGGCTGGGCGCGAGGGCAAGGGGAGGGGCCGGGGGGTGTGTGGCGGAGGGACCCGGGGAGTATCCCAGACACTACTTTCCCCACTTCCTGGGCGTCCAGGCTCCGTGCACCCGGATAACTGAGCGAAGCAGCCCCATCCCTATAGGAGGGCGCCCTCCAGGGCGAGGCTGGGGAGGGCAAGGGTGAGGGGATTGGGGTCTTACGGAGTAGCCTGCTCACCCCCTCCGCCCTACACCCTGTGGGGTGCTCCGAGTCCCAAAGGGGCCAGCGGGATGGGTGAGCTGTGATCCCTTGGTGGCTGGTGGCTGCTCCAGGAGCTGAGCGTCCCTTCTCCCCTCCAGTTCTCCCCCAGACAAGGAAAGGTTAGTGGGATCCGGGGGTCTGGGCTGGCACAATGTGGGTGCAGGCCCCTCTGGAGGCATGCACCCAGTCACGGGTTGGGACACGTGTGCAAATGAATGTGCCTTTGGATGCATGCGGGTGCGTGCTGGTGTCTGGGGGTGTCTCACGCTTGTGCATAGCATGCCAGGTGGGTGTCAGGCATCCTCTGGGTCCCTGTGCGGCCAGCAGCTGCTGAGATGGTTCCTGGACAAGCCCCCCACTCGTTCCTCCTGAGCCCTGGGGCCCAGAAGGGCACCCCACCCCCCACCCCCTAGTCCAGGGACTGGGCTGGGAGGTGAGGTGGGCGGTGGCACCAGGCAGCACAGCTGTGTGGCTCCCAGGGCTGGGTGATCGATGGCCCCAGCACAGCCGTCTCTGTCTCCCCAGCATACATGCCCATTTGTCATCTGTATCTTGGGGGGCTGGGGGCTGGGGCCTGCCTCTACACCCACCACTAAGTCCAGGGCAGTCTGCAGCCTTTCGGGGAGCCCCGAGCCCTTTCCTGCTCCCAGTCCCCTCCTCCCAATCCCTCACCCCTCTTGGAGCCCCATCCCCTCCCAGATGTAGACATCCACAAACTGCTCCCCTAATCTCTGCTTACCCTACCTTCCACGTCCTGGCCTTGACCATGCTAACCCCCTCTCAAAGGCCTCTTCGCATGGACAGCCTTCTCTACCGCTCTGGCCGTCCCCATCATGGGGGTGCCCACCAGTGTTTGAGAGCGGCAGACATGACTGCCTGCCATGTGCAGAGCCCGAAGGCCAGCAGGGAGAAAACCTGCTCTCTGTGGCTGTCTGGCTGCCCCAGCCCCCCTGCTTAACCCACTGGCCATCCCTGAGCCTGGGGAGCAGGATGAGTGTGTTCGTCCGCATCTATGAGAGTGTCTGTGACCATGTGTGTAGTGTGCATGTATGTGTGGGCACATTGCACCTGAATGTGTCTGAGTGTCTGCTCGCACCCCGCCTGCGCTGTGAGTGCATTCATATGCAGTTACCATGTCCACACGGGGTGTGGTGTGAGTCTTGTGTGTGCTGGTGCCGGACCCCATGAATCCTGGAGGTCCACTCTATTCCGACTCGGCCCAGCGGGGCAGAGGTTGTCCCTCCAGGCACTGAGTGAGAGCTCGACTAGAGCCTCACACGTGAGTGTGCACACACTCTCCTGGCGCCCCGCGCAGGCACACACCGGGGAGGTGGACAGCCCAGGTGGTGGCCCAGATGGAGTGCAGAACGGCTCTGAGTGAACATGCAGGGCATGGGAAGAGGAAGAGGTCTTGGCCGAGCTCGGCAACTGCAGGCTCGGCTGCTGACCTGCCCGAAGCCACCCAGATGGAGCCAGGCTGAGCAGGTGGCTGTGCTGGGGGGCCATGCTGTGACGTCCACGCCCCCCAGCCTGGCCCACCCCACGTGAGGCTGACCCCCTCAGAAAGCTCGAGTACCCAGTAGGAGCACACACTCATGCGTGTGCACATAGAGGCTCGAGCCTTCTGCCGGCTTCTCATCTCAGTGGCTTTTATCCCAGCTTCCTGGCACAAGCAGGGGGTCTTTGCAGGGGAGTAAGACAAGGAGGAGCTGATGCCCCCCAGGACCAGGCCTGGTCACACGCAGCTTCTTCCAGTCACTCACCAGTGCCCGCTGGGTAAACAGAAACAGGTCTGGATGGAATTACCCCAGAACTGGGCCTGCTGGGGGCTCGCGGGGCCCGAGGCAGAGATAAAATACCAGATATCTAGTTAAACTTAAATTTCAGGTAAACGACAAATACTTTTTATAGTAGGTTCCAAATATTGGCTAGATTATACTTTAAAAAAAAAGTATTTGTCATTTATTTGAGTCAGATGTAACTGAGCATCCTGCATTTGTTTTTGTTCTTTTGTGTGTTTTGTTTTATTAATCTACACCCAAGGATCTTTTTTTCCGTAGATTTTTAGAGAGAGTGGAAGGGAGGGAGGGAAGGAGGTAGAGAGAGAGAAACATCCATGTAAGAGATACACATCGATTGGTTGCCTCCCACACACGCCCCGACCGGGCAGAGATGGAACCTGCAACCCAGGTAGGTGCTCTTGACCAGGAATCGAACCCGAGACCCTTCTGTGTGGGCGGACGCTCTAACCACTGGGCACCACCGGCCAGGGCATTTTTATCATCTACACCTGGTGGCTCTAGAAGTGTGGGTGGAGAGGGTGTTCTAGGTCCGAGCTACATGTGAAAAGGCCAGGGAAGCCCAGGCTCCGGGAGGAGGCAGTGCCATACCCAGCGCTACCCCTGGAGCTCTGGGAGCTGACCGAGGCACTGACCAGGGCCCCCTTGTCTTCAGGTGGCCATGGTGCCGCGGCCCGTCCACTAGCAGGCTGCCATGTCCCGAGAGGTGGCGGGCTCATGCCGCCTGGGCTCCGGGGCGCGGGCGCGGGCACGGAAGCCCAAGAAGCCCCACTACATCCCGCGGCCCTGGGGGAAGCCCTACAATTACAAGTGCTTCCAGTGCCCGTTCACCTGCCTGGAGAAGTCACACCTGTACAACCACATGAAGTACAGCCTCTGCAAGGACTCCCTCTCGCTGCTGCTGGACTCCCCCGACTGGGCGTGCCGCCGGGCCCCTGCCACAGCCCGGCCCCTGGAGCCCGCCACAGACTGCCCCTCTGACCCCACAGAACCCGGCAGGCGACCCCGAGGGGCTCGGCCCCCAGATGCTCCCGCCACGCCCGACCTCGTTGTCACTGACCTTCTCTCCCTGCACCGCTGTGTCGGGGGCCCCAAGCCAGAGGCTGAGAGATCCCCAGGGACACCACCCCCTGCAGCCAAGGATCCCCAGAAGGGTGTGGGCCTGGGAGGGCTCCTGGCCGAGTCATGGAAGCCAGGGCTGGGCAGGGGCCCCAGGAGCATGGCTGTGGTAGACTCAGCTGCAGTGGGCCCTGAGAGCAGCGTCCCCTGCTACCCTCCGCCCACCTCCAGCGAGCTCCCTGAGGCCCACAGCCTCCAGCTGTCCCTGCTGGGAGTCAACTACCCCCTTGGCCCCAGTCTCTTTTCCTACCTGGGGCCCTCCCTGGCCACGGCAGCCCATATGCCCTTCCTGGGCTCGGCCAGCCCCCTGCTTCCCCCAGCCTCTGCCTTCCCCGCCCTGCAGCCCCTAGAGCGCCCCACCCCTATCCCCCGCCTATACTACCCTCTGCTCCTGGAGCACAGCCTGGGGCTGCAGGCAGGCAAGGCCGCTGCCCCTGCCAAACCCCCTGCTCCTCCCAAGGGACCCCCTGGGACTCTGGCCCCCGGGCTGTTAAAAGTGCCAGTACCTGGGCTGGGTGGGCCCTGGCCCTGTGGTGCCCCCAGGGACCCAGGGCAGGAGGGAGGGCTGGAGCTGACTGCCCAGAGTGACCCCAAGAGGAAGCTGCCCCCGGGAAGCAGGCTGGAGCCCCCGAAGGCTCCCTCCAGCTTGGCCAACTTTGGTTCCCAGAGCAGGTAGGTGTCAGGGTTTCCCAGTCATGTTGGGGGGGTGGGTTGAGGTTGGGGGAGGAGGGCTGGGCCTCTGTTCTGACTTAGTGTCCAGGAATATGTGCTTCAGGCCACAGGGAGGATACTGAGACCAGAGAGCCAGTCTGTCTGTCCTTCCGGGGCCCCGGGTCTCTAGGCCAGGGAGACAGATTGCACAGGGGGCACGAGAGAGAGTGGGGCAGAGGCTGGGGAACTGGGGGGCAGCACAGCCTTCTGACCGGCTCCTACTCCCTAGCCTGCGGAATGGCCCCTCCGTGATTCTCTGGCCTGAGGACAAGGAGCCAGGCGACCCCGAGATCCTGGGCCCTGTCTCCCCCCTGCCCCAGCAGCCACCGGGCCTGGTGCTGGGGGGCCCTGGGCATGTGTGTGAGGACCTGACCCGGGCTCTCGGCGACTATGCTAGGGTGGAGCAGCGCCTGGGGCAGTTGGCACCTGCCAGGGGCCTGGCCCCACGGCCTCTGCGGGAGCAACTGGGCAAGATCCGCAGGGAGCTGCTCACCATCCACCAGGCGCTAGAGCAGGCCGTGCGGCCCCCAGACGTGCCACTCGACCTCTCTGTGAAACGGACGCCCTCCAAGGTGCCTGAGGTGTCCTCAGGGTCCTGGGGGCAACCAGAGCTGGGTTCTGTATTGGCCCAGGGAGCCCCTGAGCCACCCAGAATGCTGGGCCCCACAGTGGCTGAGCCTTTCTCTGGCCAGACCACCAAGTGCGAGGCTGACTCCAGTGTCCCTCCCCCGGGGCTCCCCCTCCAAGCCCCAGATGACCCTGTCATTCCTGGCAGCAGCTGGGGCTCCCATGGCAGGACTGGGTGCTCCTGGCCTCCCGAGGCTGCCTCTGGCCTGCAGAGCCCCCCAGGTGCCGAGGTCTGACCACAGCTGCCCCCTCTGTCCATAACAGACAGAGGCCCTTCCCCAATCCCATGCACAGCACCTGGCCCCCTGCCTGCCTCAGCCCCAGGGGCTGACACCTGGAGCCTGCCCAGCATGCCCGTGAACAGACCCCACCCACCACGGCCGCAGCCTGTCTCTGGGGCCACACAGGGACAGCAGAGTCGCGGCTTTTTATTGATCACAGCTGTGGACATTAAAAGAGAAGCCACCGTCACACACCCTGTCTGAGCCTCCTCTTTCCCTTGCTGCTGCACTCTCACCATCGGAACACCTTCCCCCCGTGCAGATGGACCAGCCATGGCATCCGGGCAGGCAGTGTCCTGGGCCGCCTGCCAGGTGTCCACCTTCAGACACTGACCTGCCTCCTGTAGACTGGGCCCTCCCTGGAGGGGCAGAGTCTGGGGATAGAGTGGGGGCTTTCCATCGGGAGGGGCCGAGCAAGGAGAAGCAGGTGCGCATCAGACCAGTGTGTCAGCACATTGGTGGTGGGCAGGGCCTCTAGGCATGCCTCCAGCCCCTGTGTCTGGCAGGGCAGCCCTGATGTCAGATCCATGCTGGAGGCTGCTGCCACCGCAGTTAAAAGGTGCTCCCCACATTCTGTGGCCCAGGGCTGCTTGCCCAGCATGGCCTCCACTGGGCCCCTGCCAGCCCCTGCAGTCATGATAGGCATCGGGTGGCCTTCACAGCTCGCTGCCTCCCTCCCAGCACGACCAGGCTGGACTTGGCCTTTCCCACAGGCTGGGGTGGGGGCAGGTAGGGAGGGGCTCCTAGGGGACCCTTGGACCCAGCTAATCACTTCTCTCCCTGGGAATTGGCCCGTTCAGGAATAGCCCCAGGGAAGGCAGTTCCTGCCTGCACCCGGCTCCCCGAAGCTGGACCAGCCGGGCTGGGGCCAGTCGGAGCAGGACCTGTGGCTGCCCCATTAACTGTACGGGCAGCAGATAGCATCGCCGCCCTCCCCACCAAGGGGCGTTAAGAGCCAGTGTCCAGGGGGGGTGTAAGCCAGCCAGGCGGGGAGAGCTGTGAGTTGCTGACAGAGGCTGACCCTCCACCTTCCAGGGGCTTCCCAGAGGAGCCGCAGGGGACTGTGGGCTGTTTGGAGTGTCCAGAGAACCCCCAGGCCTTGAGCCTTGGGCCTCCCATCGGCACCTGTACGTGTCATGTCTGCTGCTCCCTGATTTCTCATCACCCACAGGGCAGACATGAGCCTAGCCCTGTTGGGGGAGGTCACCCCAGCTTCACCAGTGCAGAAATGGAAACAGAGAGACAGGACCCAACCTGCCCATTGTAGGGGTGGGGGGACAAGATGGACCCCTGGAAGTCCTCCACCTGGACTCTGGTCCTGCTGGGGGACAGGGGTGGGTTGGGGGCGGGTGGGACTGCTTCATCTGCAGAGCCTTCTGAAAAGCAAGCCCATGCCTGACATCACAGAAGGGTGTGGGGTGTGGACGGCTGTGGGGCCTCCCTGGGGAGGGGTTGGTTGCGCTAACCATGAGTGGCATCCAGCCAAGTGGGGGCAGCAGGAAGAATGGCCCAGAGGCCAGGGCAAGGGCCCCAGGGCAGGAATGTAGCAGCACTGGGAGTCCCTGGGGTTTCGTAGTGGAGTGTCAGGGCTCCATAGGGCCCAGTGGCTTCTCCTGCCCCCTTCTCCTTGCCCATGTCAAGGTGGCCTCTTCCCCTCCCTCAGGCTCTGGTTTCCAACTACAGAGGCTGCTGCTGGAGCAGGGTCCAAAGTCTCCCGCACTCCCGCTGGCCTCCCTGGGTAAGGGCAGGTGGGGAGGCGTAGGACAGGACCCTGGCCTCATCCCTCAGCGGTTGGAAGTCTCCAGGGACTGTGTGGTACCAATGGGCAGGGGCTTGGGCTGTCCCCAAGAAGGGTCACTTTCCCTGCCTAAAGGAAGGAACGGTTTCATGGGCAAGTGAGTTTGAGAAACACTCCTCATCTGTCACCCTCACCCCCATCTTGGGACATCTCAATGCCCACAAGCTCATTCAGGTCTCAGAGCGAAACCCATAGCAACCTTCATGGTCCATGTCCCCAGAACTGTATTCCAGGCATCATGCTGGGAAAATAGGAGCTAGAGACACAGCTGGCTGCTGGCTTTGCGGGCTGAACCAGGCTCAGGACCCGGTGGAGCTGAGTTTGAATCCAGCTCCCTCCCCCACCGCCACCCCCACCTTCACGCCTCAGTTGCCTCCTCTGGAGAAACAGAACTGCCTGGAAGGGCACGGGGGAGCTGAGGCAGCTGCTGCTCAGTACACCGCGGGGCATGCTTTCTCTAGCAGCCCCAAACTTGGCCCAACAATAGTGACTTGGTGGCACACCACCTTCTGGCTTCCTGCTCTGACCTCTGGGCTTCCCCACCAGCTGGCCAGCTGCCCCCCAGGACCTTCACCTCACTCTGGACCAGTGGTTCTCAACCCTTTAATACAGTTCCTCATGTTGTGGTGACCCCCAATTTCATTGTTACAAATTGAACGTAGTTAAAGCATAATGATTAATCACAAAAACAATATGTAATTATATATGTGTTTTCCGATGGTCTTAGGCGACCCCTGTGAAAGGGTCGTTCGACCCCCAAAGGGGTCACGATCCACAGGTTGAGAACCGCTGCTCTGGACCGTCCTGGAGACTCGGCTCACTCCTAGCTGCTCAGGCAGATCCCGGTGCCTGCGGGGCTGAAGGGGGCCCAGGGTCTGCACTGCTCCCTGGGTGGCCTGCTCCCTGCATCTCTGTGCCGGGCCTTGAGGGACTCTCTGCTGCTACTTGTCCTGCCGGGTGCCAGGGTTCAGGGACTTCGTGCCAGAGGATGTGGCTGTGACAGCTGCTGCGCTCATGGTGGTCAGTAAACTTGTCCACAGGGCTGTCCACACACTCCAGCACACTTCCCAAGTGCCCACGGAACTGGGTGATGGTGGGCACTTCCTGGGCCCTCGGGGGCTGGCTGTGGATGCCCTTCCTGGTAACAGACTACGTGCCTGGAGCTGTACAGAGCTTCACATTGGCACCCACTTTGGAGCTGCTGGTCCCAGCCTCCAGGCTGGGTCTGGAGGGGCCCTGCTGGGTGGGCCTGGGGTCTACAGGGCCTTTTTGTGAGTGAGAAGTTTGGGGATGTTTAGCTGTTCCGAAGTGCCTGCCAGCCACTGGGCTCCCTGGGGGGCCTAATGGGCCACAGCTTTGGCAACCTGCTGGGTGTGGCCACTGACTCAGAGGGTAACGTTACTGTGGCAGACAAGCAGCAGTGTCAGGCTGACCCTTTCCCTTGGGCTAGGACAGCCTTCTGCATGGTGTTCAAGGGGCCGGGGAAGCCCTTGGGCATGGCCTCTGTGCCCCAGAGCAAGCTCATGGTGATGGACGCAGGGGCCAGCTACATGCATCACTCATAGCTGCCCTGACCAGGTGGGCTCAGATGGCAGCAGCCCCCTCACTGTGCATGGGTCCAGCCCTCAGGCCTCCAGATCACCAGGAGAGGCAGAGTCCTCCAGGGCCACCAGCCATATCTTCCTGATCCTGCACATTTGCTGAGCACCTAGTGGGCCAGGCCCTGGGCTGGCCTCCTGTCTTCTCTGGGAGAGAATTCAGACTTTGTCAGCAGCCACAGATCAACTGCCTCCCAGCCTCCAAAGTTGGGTCTGCTCCATGCCCCAGTTCACTGTGCCCCAGCGCTCACCACTCCCATGTCCACTCAGGCCCTGGCCCTCTGGCTCGGGGCCCAGGAGGCCTGAGCTGTGGGACCAGCAGCTGAAGCCTGCAGATCTTCGGCGTGTTGGACAAGCTGCCAGCACTTATCCAGGCAGGATCTCCCACCAGATGCCCCAGTCCCGGTCTCCTAATCAGTCACAGGCAGGCAGGGAGGGTGCGGCTGGGCTGGGTGGCCTGGACAGGGGTGCGGCTCCTCATAATCCCCATCCTCAGAGACGCCCCAGGTTCCGAGCCTCCTGCAGCCTCTCGTGGCCCAGCTGAGGTAAGGGGGCGGCAGAGGAGGGGCTACCCTGGGTGTCACATGGCTGGATTGGGAGCCCTCATGGCCCTGGCCACTTCTCCCATGTGACACTATCTCACAGGCTGTCTGATCATTCGGTTTCTCCTCTGTAAACCAGGACCAAACAGCTCCAAGTTCCTGGGTGGGGGTGCTGGGAGGGTTCCAGGCAGTGGTCAAGTCTAGGAGAGCCTTCCTCTGAAGACAGATTCCTGCTACTTAAAAACAGCAGGGAAAGGAGGCCCCAAAACGGTGGGAAAGTGCGGGTGACTGAGTCTGATGCCCAGACAGGCTCCTAGTGCCAGCAAGAGGTCTTCAGGGGGAGGGGACAGTGCCTGGTCCTGCTCCTGAAGGCTGATGACGGGGTGCTCCTGTCTATCACCAGGATATTGGGGTCTGTAGTTTTTAGGCCATTCACCTCTGATAAGGTTCCCTCCATACGTCCCAGCCCCTGTGGGCGGGGGCATTAAATGGGTCAATGTAAAACGTATGCAGGAGGTGCTCAGTAGTTGTTGCTACTGGTGTTAGGGTATTACACCCCAGAGCAGAAGAGGCAAGGCCCACTCCTGATGATCAGATCAGACGCCTGAAGCCTCTGGCTGGTCCTCCAGGGCCCAACTTCCTACCTAGCCCACCTGTCTCTGGGGCGGGTGTGGGGCGGGTGAGAAACCAGTGTTCAGAGGGGCCAGCCTGGGGTGGGGAGGCAGCTCTTTCTGGAATTAAACATGGGGCATAGGTGTCCTTTCACCCTGGGAGGGTGGGGGACCTTCAAAAGCCTGGGTCCCTCAGATGAGGAAACCGGGGAGGTTCAGCCACTGTGGGAAGGTGGAGGGATTGGAAGGCAGGGGTGTTGGGGTGCTGCAGACGGACTGGAGGGGGCACAAAGACACTGTTGGAGGCCACAAGGATGCCGCAGGAAGGGACAAGGACGCTGCGGAAGTTGGGAGGAGCAAGGAGGCTGTGGGGGAACAAGGACGCTGCGAGGAAGGAAAAACAAGGAAACCACGCGCGCCTGCCCCGGGCTCCGGGGACAGGAACGTTGCCTGCGCGGAACGCTCCGGCAAGGCCGGCGGGCAGCCCGAGCGCCTTTGGGGGCCGGACCGTCGCGCGGCAACGTTGGGAGCCGGCGGAAATGGGGCTCGTGTCCCGAGGCACCGCCACAGCGGGGCTAGCACTGCGGCTGCTGTCGTCCGCTCTGGCCCGCCCAACGCCATCCCCAACCTCATCCCGCACCCACCGCCCGAGGGCACGGCTCTCGGGAGCAGCCGGTGAGCATTCGCGGGGAGGGCTGATGTCCGTGCGGTGTGACCTTGGGGAGCCCCCCCCCCGGCGCCTCCCCCCGGCCCCAGGCCCGGGGCTGTGGACCCCAACTCCCCTGTCGCGGCGGGACCAGGCGCCGGCGAAGGAGCGGAAGGGTCCCCCGAAGCCTTCCCCCCGGGCCGGCGCAGCCCTCTTGCCACTCGGAGCCTCTGTTTCAGCATCAGTAAAACGGGGCCGCCACCGGCCAGGAGGGCAGTGAGCGGCCCCCGCGAGCTCCCGCTCCCAGGCCCCCTCCGGAGGCCGTTTCCCCAGGGCGGATTGTGACCGGGCCCTGTGGGTGCTCTTGGTGGGGAGGCTGGGCCCAGCACCCTGTGAGGTGAAGGGCGCCCGGCCAGGCGTTCCGGCTGCTGACCCACCCAGCCTGGGTCTGGCTGTGGACCCTGGGGAAGGGCATTCAGGGTCAAGGACACCGGCTGTCAGCACTTTGTATTGGTCCCTGACTGCAGTGAAGGGCGAACAACAGAATCCTGGACTCATGGCCATGCTTCTGAACCAGAGGGGGAGAGGCACTGTTCACAAAACATGGGAAATGCATTTTTTAAACACAGACAGCATGGGGTAAAAACTAGTTCTTGTGAGCTATTGAGGAGCCGTGCCCGGGAGGCTTCTCGGAGGAGGGTTGGTTGCACGCAGCGGTTCTCAACCTGTGGGTCGCGACCCCTTTGGGGGTCGAACGACCCTTTCACAGGGGTCACCTAAGACCATCGGAAAACACATATATAATTACATATTGTTTTTGTGATTAATCACTACGCTTTAATTAGGTTCCATTTGTAACAATGAAATTGGGGGTCACCACAACATGAGGAACTGTATTAAAGGGTCGCGGCATTAGGAAGGTTGAGAACCACTGCACCAGCGAGATGCCCCTGACCAGCCATACCGGGGCTTTGTCCCGGAATCAGCTGTGCAAAGGATGAGGGCGGGAGTGCAGCTCTACCTCATCAGGTAGACTGGCCTCTGGTTCCGAGGGGCGAGCGTCCCAGAGGTCCTGGCTGATCTGGGAATGGACTGTTTCACAAGGGAACTTGGTGCCATTTCTAACAGGGAGGCTTTTCTAGGTATGGGTCCTTGTTTTTGTTGTTTGTGGGGTGTTTTTTTATTAGTCTTTAAAGGCGTGCATGTTGCCCAAGTTACCGCCCTGCTTTCTCCGAATCTGCACCGCTGCTATCGATCGCCTGCTCTTTCATCTCTTCCTGGCTGTCTGATCTGAGCAGACTTCTTTGTGCTCCTCACTCCCAGAGGCTGAGGTGGGAGCAGGGATGGGAATTTGCTCCATAATCTGTTAAGAGTTCTTTCTCACTGCCCCACGGATAAGAACATCAACTTCTGCTCTCCGCTCTTTCTTAGACATGAGGAGCTGCTGCTTTTTTCTTTCTTTCTTTCTTTCTTTTTTTCCCGGTAAACTTTGTAGATGAAGCACAATGTGTACAAGGCGACAGATTTCCCCGCAGTGAACATAGGTGTAGTCAGTTTCCCTCAGAGCACCTGCCCGCCATTGGGCCAGTTGTGCTGCTGCTTCTACAGTGAACCCCCACCGTACCCCCACTTGTAAGTGGCCACCTAGTTGGAAGAACACTTCCCAAAGGAGCAGTTTTCCTTAGCTCCTGGGAAAGCCGGCCCCACGAAGGCTGTGATGGTGGCATTTGGCTGAGCTGGTGTGTCCTGACAGGCTGGCACTGAGGTTTGGACTGTGCTGGCTGGTCCCCCGGGGTGGTTGTCAAGCCAGACACACCAGGTCCCTCACAGGCAGAATCGCTCTGTCCTCTCAGGAGGGCAGTCCCTGCAGAAGGCTCAGGAAGACCAGTTGGCTCTGGATGCCCTGGATGATGGCCATGGGGATCTGGCTCCAGGCGGCTACACTGTTGCCTGCCCTCACTGGTCACTGGGGGCGGAGCCTTTGGACTCAAAGGGGCCCTTTCAGCTGGAACCCATAGCTGTGAGAGTCCCTTTTCACAAGCTGGCTGGGAGAGGCCTCGACCCTCCAGCCCCAAGCTGGCTACCTGCAGGGGAGAAGGGCAGCTGCATCAGTGACCTCTGAAACCCTGGGCATTTGTGTCTGTGTGAGGCCCCCCAGTGCCCCCTGGTCCTCAGGAAAAGGCTCCCTGTGCCTCCCAGTGTCACACTGCCCCAACATGTGTGTGTCTCTTCCCCTTATCCCCGAGGGCCTGCGGAGCCCCAGGCTCAGTCCAAGGCCTGCGTTTTCTCCCTCCAGTAGGGGCTCCAACTTGGGGGTCTTAGCTCAGGGTGGCTGCTCTGCCCTTTATGCCGATGAGGTGGGGGCCACCAGTGTCTGAGAAAGGGCACACCTCAATATGAATGCCCTCAGTCCATGCTGGGGGAGGTCCTGCTGGGTCAGGCCCCATCATGGAGGGGCTCAGGTGGAAGAACGAGGTGATTGCTGAGAAACCCTCATCCCCAGGGAGCTTGCTTCTGGGCAAATTAAGGCTCAGGGTCCCACAAAATTCCCACTTGGGGCTGTTCTTGTTGCTCAGAGGCCATGTGAGGGTAGTGAGGGGCCAGGAAGGCTGGTGTCCCTCCTCCTGAGAGAAGATGACGGTGTCTTTCCATTCCCCAGGGCTAGTGAACTTCTCCCACCCCCACTTGTGATAGCCACACGGTTGGAAGAATACTTCCCAAAGAAGGTGCTCAGCTGTGACGAGAGGAAACACTCCCCTGTTGGGAGCCCTTCCCTGAAGTGGCGGGTGGATGGGGCTCCCAGGGCAGGATGGGCATGGCTATAGCTTGAGGGTCAGGTGCAGGCGGAGGCCCTGTGAGAGCTGAGCCTGTTCTCTGAGCACTGAGCCTCCTCCAGGAGGCTCACTGGGCAGGGGGGTGGGCTCAGGTGACCAGGCACATTTCTAGGCATCTTCTGGGGTGTCTGCACCAGTGCCCACAGCCACCAGCAGTGTGCGCATGTCTGGTTTCCCTCAGCCCAGGAGCAATTGTTTAAATGTTCATCTTTATTCTTGCTAGCTTAGTAAGTAAATCAAGGTTGTTTAGAGTTTTAATTTGCATTACTTTAATTGTCAATAAGACTACATTTTCCCATGTGCTACACATAAAAAACTAATCAGTGTCTTTAAA